TTATCTGCCTAAGTGATCCCGACGGTTCTCCGCAAAATCAACCGGTTTTCTGCAGATTGGACCAATTCAGATGCGATGTGGATGTAGGGATTAAAGAGAGGAGCAAACAAGCTGCTCACAGAATTAGTCGATAGAATGTAAGTGGATAGAGAGAGGGGGAGGCAGTGAGGCAAAACCTCAAGAGAAGGAGAGCGGTGGTCTGTGCTCCCGTGATTTATTTCTCCAGTCCGACTTGGACATCCTCGTAACTACAACTCTCACAACATCTATTATCTGAACTCTCTTTCGTTCCTTACTTCTTTATCACATTCAAAATGTTTGCACCGGGTATGTTCCCAGTTGTATACCTCTTCGCTCTAGCACACTCGAACTAACGATATAACTCTCTAAGGCCAAGAACAGATCTCTAAGGAAGAGCTCAAGGTCAGTTTCAAGCCATGACCTCTGCCCTAAATAGCATCTGATACTAATATACTTTACAGGCTGGTGAGATTGAGGCCTTCCAGACCGTCCAGATGGCTATTGCCGGTGGTTTCCTCCTCTACCTGTGTAAGTCGAGTATCTGAAGCCTTGAACAACTCGAGACGAGTTAGAAAAGAGTTGGGGCTGAAAACTAACATTATCATCCAATATATAGCCCCCTTCGCCGTCGAATTCGTCCGCAAGTTCCTTTAAGCCGGTTGACCCGTCTTCCGCTCCTCTTTCTTGCTCTTCCCGGACTGTAATCGACGAATCGCTGGTTATGATTTCGCGATGATATGCAGGAGAATTGAACAGTTCATTCTTTCCCCTCTGGTATAGCTTTTTTCTCGGCCCAAATCGGACAGGATTGAGCATGGGCACCTAATCTATGGAAAGCTCTTGAAGCTCATATACTACACATTTTGGGTCTGCTGGGCAGTGTCAGTTGGATGATGTATTACTATTGTGCATAGGCTCGTTGTCATTTGAGTTTTATGAGATATAGAGCAAATCAAAATAAGATATTGCATTATATCGGAATCTAGGTATCGCCTGGCTGTGGCAAAGTAATGAGTCAACATAGCAGAGTGGAGGAGCGGTTTATGGCATAGATATACACTGACTAGGGACTATCTGTGGATAGTACATGTCATTACGAAGACTTGGCGAGCAATACTCATTCAGAGACACCCAAAATGGAATACAGAGTGTTTAGCAAGAAATTTGTATTCAGATATGCATTACAATGGCCTGATCCCCAAGAACGCCGGTACCCCGATGACCGTAGACATTAAGTCCAAACATGTGAGGAAATGTGAGGAAATTGAGAATCGAAATAGCACATAGAAAGTCATAGAGCAATGTCCTCAATTGCCAATTGCTTTCTCCACCGCGTTGAAGTCGTTCTTGATAGATTCCATCTCCTTCTGAAGATACTGAATCTGAGAGTGATAATCGTCCAAAATCTGGAACATACGGTTAGCGAACTGTCCCGATACTGAGGATTCACCAGCTCGGGAGTGCCGAACCTTCTTTGCTGTCTTCAATGTCTGCTCATCAATGTCATCCTCTGGTTGTGTCACGTTTACCCCGGCACGATCGATTTCCACTTGCAGTCGCTTGGAGTGTTCGTGGATGGCCAACATACGGGCCCAAATTTCTTCAGCGCGGCCATTGAGAGACGGGTCGAAAACGGCACGTTCCAACTCAACAAGCTTTTTCTTCAACTGTTCCTCCGCTTCATCCATGGCATACCCTCTGTTGCGAAGGATCTGTGTCTTAGCCGCAAGGGAGAGGCACCGTTTGCTCAGAATGATGTGTTTCCGACGGCAGTCGGTGATCTTGACGGAAAGGTTGAGATCATGCTTCGAGAGAAGCCCGGTCAAGCAATCGTTGATCTCGTGCAGGCGCGACTGCATCATAGTGAGGAAGTCCCTTTGTCGCTGCGCGCGCTTACCGAGTTCCCAGAAGCCCTTGACAAGCACAGGGACATATCCTGGACCCGGCCGCTTGCGCAAAGCCTCCTCCCACTTTGCATCGTCGTCCTCGGGACCCGGTTGGTAAAAAGGAGCGGCCTCCTCGCCGACATTGTTGTACAGGTAGGCACGGAATGGCGAGCTTTGGCTGGGCGGATCCCACTTATCTTTGATGATGGCTACTTGCATAGGAACAGTTCGGTGCACTAGAAAGCAGTCTTGTCAGTAATGGTTCGTAGTGAATGATTACGCAATAGGCTCACCCCCAGTGATAGCACGACCAGGAGACCAAAGGCTTGACGACAGAGAAGGCTGTTGCTGTTGGGGTTGTGGGGTTGTCATCGTGTTCTGGCCGAATTGCGATTGCTGCTGGCCGAATGCATTTGTTTGTTGTTGGGGGTTAGAACCCAGACCACCGAACCCTCCTAGTGCAGCTGGTTGTTGTGCTTGCTGCTGGCCTCCGGAGAAGAGGCTACCTTGCGGTTTCTGTAGCGAGGAGCCGAATGCGCTTCCTTGCTGCTGCTGTTGTTGCTGAGGCGCGGCGCTTGCGCCGAACGCACTCCCGCCAAATGCATTGGTTGCTGTCGCGGCTGGCTGTTGTTGGGTCTGCCCGAATGGTGTGCTGGTGTTGGGTTGGGCTGCGGTTGTAGAGGTGCCAAAGAGAGACGGCTTCGCTGCAGTGTTGCCGAACATGTTGTTGGCCTGGGGCTGGTTTCCACCAAAGAGAGACATGATGGCAATCACAAAGACAAAAAAAAAACCACGATGAAGAGAGACCGCGTCAATGGATCAATAAATCGCTAGCGCAGCTAGATTAAGAGCGCTGAAGGGAAATAGAAACAAGTTCAAAGCACATAGTCCAGAGACTGGGGGGTGGCAGTCGAAGGTGAGAAAGCTGAGGGGTTCTTCGATGGAGCTCGAAGGCCGAGAAAGATGAGAGCCGGAGCTCGATTTGTTTGTGTCACGTGATGGGCTATTGTTCGCAAACCACTTAAATGCATATTGAAAGAAATACTTGAATAATTAGTGAATTAGAATTGCTCTATTGTTCTATGTTATTGTCCTAATGGATTTTTCTTATCGATATATCCAATAAACAAAAGCAACAACTTATATACGCCCTATTCCAGCACCGCACCTAGGCACCTCAGGTGATATGTTACGCTGACCTAAGCAAAATCCAGCCAGCCAATCACCGACGAGCCAAATTTCATTCCACCGCAACCCGCAGCTCTCGACTATCGATCTCCAAGTCTCGCCTCAATTGCACCTCTTTCCCCTCACAGTCGTTCTGACAAGCCACCGTCGCCATGGCCCAAAGAGATGCTCGGTATGTACCTTGATCTCAATTGCTTCCTCTCCGTATAGCTCAATGTGAGACGCTAACCGCTATCCCCTCCGCGCACAGCTTCAACCAGACTGTCCTGGTGGACACCACGCCCATGCCCGATCACATTCCCAAGGTGGAAGAGATCGGTGCCACATCTGCACCCCTGATGAGTGCATCCTTTTTCATTGGAGACCGCTGCAAGGCCTTCAATGACGACTACATGAAGTGCAAGGACGAGGCCAATGGCCGCGGGGAGATCGACTGCTTGAAGGAGGGCCGGAAGGTTACGCGCTGTGCCGCTAGCGTGTATGTTGCTTTGTGATTTACCTTTGGGTCGAGAAGGAGATATTGACCCGTCACAGCATCAAGGACATAAACACCAACTGCCTCGACCAGTTCAAGGCCCACTGGGAATGTCTCGAGAACAACAACCACCACCTATGGGAGTGCCGTAGGCCCGAGATGCAGCTTAACACCTGTGTCTTCGAGAAATTGGTATGATATACGCCTTCTTGCTCTCGATCGCCTATCACCTCGCATCCATTATATCCGCTATCACCCCCGGACTAGAGCTAACATACACTTCTCTTGTTTCTTTAGGGCTTGAAGAAGACCCTCCCTGGCGCTCCCGAGAACCAGGTTCCTGTTCACTTGCGCCCCAAGCAAAAATACGCACAGTACCCCGGTCCCCAGTGGTAAACACTGTCCCTGTTTACTTTGTCCTCTCTAGACTCACCCTGATTGCACCCTTATCCTTCCCTCTCATAATCTGGGCACCGTCTTTTTTCTATAGCACTGTTTTATTTGGATGCTCGACCGTAAATCCGGTCTATGTTTGTGTAAATATCTCTTGGCATCATGAATGGTTACATGATTTTCTGCTCGATCTCCAAATCTCCTTGCCTTGCTCACACGGCATGCACGGGGCAATATGTTTTCCAACCTATTGCAGTGTGCAATAGCATATTCTCGAGTTGGTAGTAGTACGGACTCTATAGCCCGCTGGCTCTCGTGCACCCTCGGTTGATGCCTGATTTGTTCACTGAGCGTGACCTGACCGATCCGACTTGCTTACTGAGCATAACCCCAATAAAATACAACGCGATAGGCCCGTCCAATGCAGTCCTTCATCAACGCTCTTGTCCCCTCAACAAAGGGCTGGCGTCATCTATGTGGCGGTCCAGCCCTGGTTGCTTCGCCTCTAAGTGGAAGGGAAATGCTGCTATCTCGCGGCTATGGCACTATTCAGTCTCCCATCCACGATACCGTTTCTACATAGTTGCAAAAACTATCCAGCCCTCTGGTTCTACGATATAGACGTCAGGCCTTTTGCTGAATCTGAAGGGTGAGGTAGAATACTATGGAACTACTATATTCCAAGGTTTTTGATCGAGTTCTCAGTACTTGATTCCTGGAGCAATGAGTGTATAACAGGGATGTACATGTACATTTCTACAAATCAAGCCCGTCAACCGATGTCTGGAAAAGGACGCGGTCTACACACTTAATCAATGACTCGATGTATATATATCTATTCAGGTCTACATTGTTCTTAATTTACCCTTCAAATTGCCAAATTTTTCTCACTTTATTGTCACCTTGTTCTCACTTTGTTCTCAATAAACAACCTGAGCCCGCCCTTCTACAGCTATTTATTTCACTTTCTTACTTTTAGTTCTCATCTCTTCTTTCACAGACAGCCCTCTGTGATTTTGATTCCCTGCATCTACGCTATGTCCATTGTTTCTCTAGCATATCATTCGCCACTTTCTTGAACAGAAGACTTGACAAGAATCCTGGCTCCTACGAAGCCCTCGCAGCTTGCAGTGGCCTCGTTGAGTCTGCCAGACATCTAGAAGATCATCGGTCGCACCTGGTTGCAGATGATGAGTTCGACTTTGTTGCACCTGTCCCCGTCTCGCAAGGCTCGATGTTTGGAAATATCCAGAAGCGCCATTATACCTTCGGCTCAAGTGCCTTTGGGCAGCCCCAGCAGCAACAACAGCAGTATGTTAGCTCGATGGACCGTACAAAGAAATCAGCTAACGTCAGTTAGAACTCTAGTTGAAAAAGTCGGACCGCACTCATGGCGCAAACGAAGCCAGTATCCGCTGCAAGCTCGAACTCCTCCTTGTTTGCGATCACGATCTAGTATCCATCTTTGAACAAATCCGCTCGACCCTTGAACATTCAGTTGGAACGTACATGGGCGTATAGCCCTGTGAAATGGAAGGGGAAGACATCGACTTAAACGTTGCTATCATGGAGACCAAGAGACCTACCAGTTGTTCCGCAGGGATTCCGCATTCCCATCCCGACCCATTGCTGCTCTGGTCCGAAAAATGATTGACAGGCAACTGATTGCCATGAATGTCGATGATGAGTGCCTCTCATTGTCATACCCCGGCGGAACTTGCGAAGATGATGATGCCCGATGGTTTCACTGTATGGCCTCTTATGGGATAAACAGCGAGCTTCAGGAGGCCATTATGGATCCCAAGTTTCGACACATCCGCCTAACCGAAACTTGCAAGTTCTGGGTTCGGGACACCATTCACTTACGATACCGGGCTACAACCCCCTTTACCGCGGAAGAACTGGGCGGGTCACAAGGAGGTTGCAAAACCTGACTCTAGAGAGCAGAGAAACAGAAAATACTGGAGGCTTCACTGAGCTGGTGGCTTCCATTGGAGTAAAGAAGCCGTTTGACAATTCCGAAGCCAAGATGCAAGAAGCTTCTCGTGAGCGTGATCTTGGCATGGTATCTAAAGGCGAGGGAGGCGTCCCCCATACACGCCCAGTCACACACCAGGGAAGGATCTGGGGGGTCTCTATTCCTTGCTCTTCTTATTTTTGCCCATGGCCCTTCGCTAGTATTACTTGATCGAAATACGAGTCTATCTATCTGGGCTATGACCCAATTAATAGATAGTGAGACACATTCTCTGCTTCTTTGATATCCTAACCCGTAGCCCAAAATCTGAAAGGAGTCGGCAGATGACAGAGTATTATGCTCTTTTGGGTCTGGACTGAGCGTGCTAAGATAGGAAAGCCATATGTAGGTAACCATTGCAACAAATAAGCTAGCCACCTTACACCCTGACATTCCTCTGCGGGGAAGCTTGTATATATTGGCTCTAGATTACCCAGGCTTACGCATGCACTGCGGAGTTTCACCGTGTATATAACATGTCCTGACTATGTTTTCCTTCCGATCTCTGACTCTGTCCAACATATAACCACCGGGTATTATAGGTACTTGTTCTTGAGGGCTAACTCCACCTTTAAAGAGTTGGTGATAGTATACATGTAGGTAGCGTGCATAAAGGCTAGGCGGGATATACATTTGCTTATTCCTAACGCATCTATGGATAATATTGCTGGGCGTATCAAGCTCTATAATTCTAATAGATTAGCTTTGAGTAGATCTGATCTAATGATACCTTCTCAGAATATTGATCTGGACCGAGCACTTTTCCAGGCTGGTACAAAGGCTTAGCATCAACCGTTCTGCAGTGTCTGAACTACGATGACAGATTGTTTAATTGTTACATTCTATAATCCGAAGGAATCCATAATCATAATCATCCTTCACCTGATTCGATTGCAGGGGTTTGGCCTGTTGGTCAATGTGTGTAATTGAGCCCTAATTCCGGCCCTCCGATATACTACCTGGTGTAACTATGCCTTTGAGATAATCCGAAACATATCTAGGTTGTTTTCTACTTAGGTTCAAGAGTCCGCTTGTCACAGCATGCATCAACAGCATTGACTGGTCATTGAAGTGTATCTGAAGTATTTCGGAATATAGAAAGCATGTATTAAACCCGGGTATTTAGACCCAAGGTATGAGGAAAGTACACAGAGAGAGAGGCCAAGAGTACGCTTAGATCCCGATGTACGAATAGCGGACCTCCGGCATCTATCTATAGACACCTCGAGAGGCATAAATGCAGGCATCAAACTCTCCACCAGTCCGTGCATGTGCGACAGGAAAACAAGGATATAGATAATTTATACAAAAGCCGCTCTTCTTTCTCTAACGACTCTCTATATCGATGTGCTACTTACATCTATAGTCTGAGCCATACACGCAGGTAGACATGAAGTCGGCAATATTCTTGATTCTATCATTATGGAGAGGTGTCCATCACGTCCAAGCAGCGGCCGTGTTCGCCCACTTCATGGTAAAGCCCTTCAACTACGATCTATATCTCCGCTAACCTCCACCAATTCCAGCTATACAACTCGGAGAACTTCACGGTCTCCGACTGGGAAATCAACATAGCAGAAGCACAAAAGGCCCACATCGACGCCTTTGCCCTAAACATCGCATACAACTTCCCAACAAACAACCGGTCCCTAGCGAACGCATTCAAGGCCGCAAATACCCTGAGCTTCCAACTCCTATTCTCATTTGACTACGTAGGCAACGGCGCCTGGCCAGAAGGCGAGGTGATCGGCCTCCTCCGAAAATACGGAAACAACCCAGCCTACTACCAGCACAACGGCAAACCCTTCGTCTCAACCTTCGAAGGCTCCTCCAACGCCACAGACTGGACCACAATAAAAAGGTACACAGACTGTTTCTTCGTACCGGGGTGGTCAGCCCTAGGCGCGAAGGAAGCCCTCGCCGTCGCACCAGGCATTCCAGACGGCCTATTCTCCTGGGCCGCATGGCCAGAAGGCCCAGACCCGATAAACACGTACATAGACTCCACGTACATGCAGTGGCTCAAAGACACCGGCCACCTGCCATACATGATGCCAGTCTCGCCGTGGTTCTACACGAACCTGCCAGGCTACGGCAAGAACTGGGTCTGGAACGGCGATAACCTGTGGTACGACCGCTGGCAGCAGGTGCTATCTCTCAAGCCGGACTTCGTGGAGATCATCTCGTGGAACGACTACGGCGAATCGCACTACATCGGCCCGCTGCATGAGGGTTCATATGCGACCTTCGAGATCGGTCATGCGAGCTACAACTACGCTACCGGACACCCTCATGACGGCTGGCGCGACTTCTTGCCTTTCATCATCGATGTCTATAAGGGTGCCCGGCCGAATGTCACGACTGAGGGCGTCACGGCTTGGTTTCGGCTGGCGCCTGGGAAGGCTTGTGCCAACGGTGGCACTACGGGTAATACGAAGACGCACGGGCAGAAGGAGTTCCCGCCGACGGACGTCTTGCAGGATGAGGTCTTCTACTCTGCGCTGCTGCGGAACGCTGTGGATGTGGATGTGTCGGTTGGGATCGGCGGGGTCGTGCAGGATGGGAAGTGGAAGAATAGACCACACGGTCCCATCGGTATTTATCATGGCAGCGTGCCGTTCGATGGTAATACCGGAGAAGTCGTCGTGACGGTTTCTCGTCAGGGAAAGACTGTCGCTGAGATGCGGGGTGCATCGATCTCGGAATCGTGTCCGGATGATATCCAGAATTGGAACGCCTGGGTTGGCACGAAATTCGCTAATAATACGATTTCACGTCCGCCGCCTTCTCCGGCTCCGACTGCAATTTCTGCGGCTTCCGCTCTTTTAGTGCTAAGGAGGATTCCGTTTGCGATTTTCTTTGTGGCTTTGGTTGCGACTATGGTGGCTGCGACGGCGACGCCTGTTCAATATGAGAAATTGGCTTTGACGATCCCGATTTCAGAAATTTCTCCATCGGTATATAGTGGTACGGGCGACGGCGATCCTAAAAGTCTATATAGCTATGGCACGAGCTATGGTTTATATCCAACCAACAGGTATACTCGCACAACAACAACGGATACTCTAGTTACGCCTTCTACCTCAACTGGTGCCACGGCTTCCACATACGGCACATCTTGGAATTTGGACTGATCTTGAAAACAGCAGTGGATCTATGATAGTAGGCATGTGAGGATCTCAATTAATTATCACTAATGATGTTGAGGAATAATACTGGCGATATAAGATACGACTATATATATCGAGAGTGACCGTTAGGTAGTTATTTCTTAGGGCTTTGAATTATCATCAAATCTATGTAATCTCTCAACGAAAGAGGATAGCAACGTGGTGAATAACTTGGCCAATAAATATGACTTCTAATAGGGCATATGCCAAGTGATATCAAAACAAAATAGGAAATAAAAGTACATTGATCATCTATGCTTGGAATGTAAGCCCTTCCCCCCAATCCATAGCATCTAGACTGATGTTCGCATCTACCAATAACTCGATATAGTTAACCTCAAGTGCTGCCACCTTAGACACAAAATGTATTAGACAACCCAGGAAAAGAAAGTCGAAGACAACAGAAGCAAAAAAGGAAGGACTCCCGAAACCTGAAATTGAAACCCATATATACTGGACAAAAGAAAAGTCAAGAGAAATAGACACAAGAAAGTGAACAAGGTGATGTAGGAATAGCCAATGCAAACAATGCCCGGAGAAAAATGCTGCAAGGAGTCAAAGACCGATAAAAAGAAAAGGGAAAGAAAGATAGGCCACGACCATGGCCATAGAGCGCCCTTTATGGCAATAAAGGCGCATCCACGACCCTCAGGAGTTTAAGCCTCGCCTTAACCGCCGCCCAGCCAGTCTTAAGTCGATTCTCAACACGACGATCCCCCCTCAACCGCATCCAAATAAGCAGCATGCCCAGCATAGCAATATCAAACAAGATCTGCCGCACAGCAACCCAAATCATCCACTTCACCCACGCTAACAGACCAGACCGACGGCGATGCGCAATAGACCGAGCTTCCATCTGCTCGCGCACGGCCGCAATCTCCGCTGTCATTTTCGTCAAGGCCTGCTCGACACGGCGGCGCCAGCGACTGTCTTTCGAGGCTGGCTCTGAATGGGAATGCCGACTATGCGGGAGACCGTTCCCACTGCTGTCTATACTAATACCAGAGGCAGGATTGCGACGATGCTTGGGACGGTGATGTGAGGAGACGTCGGTATGTGTATGTGTGTCGGTGTTGGAGTGGGAGCTAGCATGGTCCGGGTCATCGTGATCGTCTTGATCTCGTTCTTCGTATAAGCTATCACGAGCTTCCTCAAACTCCTCCTCATCCTCATCCTCGTCCTCATTATGCGGACTCCCATCCTTATGGTTCTCATCAGACCCCCTCCGCCGCCGATAATACTCCTCCTCCTCCGGCTGGCTCATAGGACTGAGAACCCGTAACCGCGAGTCCCGATCTCGTCGACTGGTATCATCCCGTCGACCAGGACGGTCATAGTCCTCCTCCGCCATTCGACCCGCAATACTCCCATACGCACTGCGCGATAACGGCGGGACGCCGACTGTATTCACCGGACTAGAAGTAGACGACGACGAGGTGTTGAACTTAATCTGGTCCCAGACGAACTCGAGCTCGGCGACTAGCTCGCGTGCTTCGGGTGTTTGGGATGCATATTGGTGCATGGTGTGGATCAGCGTCGAGATGTACCTGCGTTTGGCTTCGGTGCGCGATATGTCACGCTGCGCATACCATGCATCCCTAGACAAGACAAGAACATTGTCAGTGTGTGTGGTGTCGGATTGTAGACAGAAAAGCGATGTTTTCATAGACCCGAGCAAGATCCACAATAATCAAAAGCTTTCTTTTTCCCCGCGCTTCGGGACATACCATTTCTCGCACTCCGCGTGCACCTCCGGCGTGTTCCCAATCGGACGATCCATTACTCCCTCCACGTCCCCCTCTGATGCAGTATTAGCTCCTCCGGTTTCCTTGTTGTTTTTCCAGGTGTAATGCCGGTCACTCACCCATACTCTGCTTATACAAGCCATATAGTGCCAACCGCTCGGCAGCGGGAGGTCGCGCGGTGCCGGTCCGGGGAATCCTCTTAACGGTATTGAGGGCATGAACAAAGACTCGATCTGTGATGAGCGGGTGTCAGTGGAAATCCGGATGCATGACGCAGGGCGCAATCTGCACAACACGCACCTACAGAGTCCGACATGACGCGATAAGCGGTCCGGTTTGCCCTGTCTTCATGGGAGCGGGGTTGGGCATCGGCTTGCGCGGGTCCTCATGGGGAGCGTAGAAGACTGTAAATAGGAATTTGGTGATATAGCGAGGTTTTTTGGTTCTTCAAGAGAGATGCTGGAAGGGGGTGTGTTTGTGGTAAAGAGGGATTGTGTCCGATCGGAGATTCCCGAGGTTCCCTGGTCTGACTGTGATTTTCCCCGGAATGTGGTCTTCGTTTCTTCCCCGGATTGAAAAAGATTCACTCCAATCAAAATGTGGGAAGAAACTCCCAGGAGATGATCTGGAGATGGCGTGTGTTGGACCGCGGCTCTCGGCGATCAGTAGGCACTTGTGATTGTCGCCGAAATCGCATTCGACATTCTACGATAATTGCACTTTTATAAGTTGAATTGTTTCTTTGTTTTTATTTCTTAGTCGTGTATAGTAACAATAAAATACAAAAGAAGACCCTTTACTCGCTCGGTAACTTCTTCATCGTCTGCAACGGTTTCTCCGCATCCACTGGCGTACCCGTCATCAACTCGGTGGCGGCGCGCGCCTCGTCACCGCTAATCGGAGGTCCAGTAAAGTGCTTACGTGCATAAGCAAAGTACCAGATGACACTAATAGCACCGAATCCAGCGAAAACAGCACTGGCATAGTTCATAGACTCCGGGGTAACAGGCAAGGTAACGGGCATGCAGAAGAGAGCGACAGCAAGCACGATCCACGCAATGGTAACGCAGTTAATTGCGAATCCAAAGCGACCGAGAGAGAACGAGGAATTCTTCACGTCCTGGCGGCCTCGAATCAAAGAGATCAAAATCGGGAGACCGTACGAGGTCGACAGACAGATAGTAGCCACACCGGTGAAGGAGTTGAACGCAGCCGTGGAACCAAAATAGATCAGTCCTAGCAAGCCATCCACGACGGCAGATAGCACGATAGCCCACACAGGCACGTCCAGCTTGGAGTTCACCTGACGCCAGAGCGTGAAGCCCGGAATGGCGCCGTCGCGAGCGAACGCATACGTGCAACGGCTGGCAGCTGTGAGAGACCCGATTCCGGCGAACATCATGATCCCCAGAATCAGGAAGAGCAAGCCGAAACCACCGCCTGCAGAACCGGTCACTGTCTTAAAGAGCAGGCCGATCGGTTGGCCGCTGGCGACCTCGCGCAGCATCTGCACATTGGGCATCACGAACAGAATCGGGATCAGGTAGAACAGGCCGGTGATGCCAGCAGCCACCACGGATAGCACGATTGCCTTGGGCACCTCGCGGTGTGGGTTCTGCACCTCTTCGCACATGGCAGCGACCATTCCGTAGCCGGTCAGGGTGTATGCTGCCTGCAGCAAGCCCACGAAGAAGGCCCATCCAGCGGGCCAGCCGCTCGTAGAGGAGTCATAGTGAGCGAAGACGAAGTCAGCGTCTCTGCGGTTGTCGGCCATTGTCAAAAGCGTGACGAGGATGATGATGACGCTGGCTGCGGTCCAGAAGATGCAGACCTTGTTGATGAGATCGAGATAGCGCGAGCAAAAGATGTTGACTAGGGCGCAGACGAGCATGACTGCCCAGAACATCAATACAGTCTGCCACGCATTGGCAACGAAGGACTCGTTGAAGATGGAGATGGCGCTGAGAATCAATTGGCCGCCGGAGAAGATGATACTCAGTGTGACGGTCCAATTTCCCACGAGGGTTAACCAGCCGTCGATGAAGGACATCAATGGAGCCCAGCGACGCGTTGAGAGCATCGCGCTCCAGTAGTACACGCCTCCTGCTGTTGGGTATACGGCGCAGATCTCGGCGAGAGAGGCGGCGATGGCGATTGAGATCAGGGAGACGAAGACCCAACCCCAGAGTATGGTGACGGATAGACCGTCGGAGAGGGTGATGTAGAGAGTCGTGCTCAGTCCGAAGGGAGCGGCCATGATGGCAAAAGATAAGCCGAGGATGCTCAGCATGCTCAGGTTTCGAGGCAATTCACTCTTGTAGCCCATACGGGCCAATGCCTCGTCGGCGGAGGCATCGACAGAAGAACTTCGCATGATGAAGGTGTTGGGAGAATGAGCATTCCAGTAAGCAAGGTTGTCAGTTGATATTATACCTAAAACGAGATTAAGAAAGCGCCCCGCATAGAAAACATGGCGCGGTCCGAGACCGCGTAACAAGGTTTTAGAGATGAGGCGAAAAAAAGATATCTCGAACGAATGACAGGGATTTTTTAGGCTTATCTCGTTGTATCTTTGTCCTGGGCTGCTAAGAAAAGGTTGTATGACCTAATGGTCCTGCGATAAGAGACGGCATCATGATCCACTTGGATTCCCCTATTTTATTCGGACGCATTCATCATTCACCACAATATCAGATAGCACCGAGACATATCACGTGAGAATGCCCCTGGATATACCTCGCATCTTACTCCCATCCATCTCAACCCTAGACCTGGCACGCAAGAAGGCAGAGATGTGGAACACGTTGGACACCATACGAAGATCTACAGCGGGGTTCCGTGCCAAGCATATTATAGCACCATGAGTGCAAGATCAAGAACCTGAATGGGAAGAGAACACATCTACAGATCGTATTGCCTATGCACACGGCTCACTAAGGCACTGACTACTTTATACAACCCACCAACGTACTAAGAAGGTATTGTAATGCGGGGGCTGGGATGAGGACACTGGTGGTGTGGGGAAGGTTGGGTTTCAAAGGGGACACTCGCGATTGAACAGATTCAGCCGGAAGAGGAAAGTGGTACCGAACTAGTCCGTAAGGAGAATAGAAATGCGAGAATCCTACTCAGCTACGGAGAACTCCTACTCGATGCAGTCTACACTGGAAATGGAATATTTGAATGATTCATTGCACATACATCAAGGTCACGCGAGGTGACGGCTGCCACATCAGGAACATGCTGCGAAGACTCCATGCAAGAAAGAGACTGAGCAATCGATGAGCGCCAGGATGGATATATCAACACAAAGGAAGGGGGGAAGTAGTTCAAAAGGTGAAGTCCGGATCCACACCCTTCCTTCGGAATTTGGAGGGCAGGGTAAAGGGGGTATCAAAGTGGGTAAAGCACAAATGTCATCCAGTGATCTCGCTGGGCAGAAGAAAAGGAATTTTTTTCTTGTTTGATGAGATATCTAATAGAACAAACAGGGAGATCAGTAGGGGAGGGAAAGGAGTAAGGGCGGAAGTAGGCCCTGGATGGTAAGGCCCTGAGTGTTGAAAAGGGCGAGAGAAAGATCGAGATGGGAAAAGGCTGTCGGGATTTTTCGGCCGCAAAAGAACCGTGCAAGTTGAACTCCGTCTATGTGACCACTCTAGTAGTCAAGTAGGTCAGTCGGACCGCCTTTTCCGACATGTCGCGTTGAAAGAAGGGAAATAATGATCGAAAGAAACGAAATGCGCTGAGTCGTGACCAGCCAGCTAGTGCCAACTCCAAATCGTAAAAGAAACATGACCGTGGTAACGGAACGATCGTCAGTCGAGGTCGGATGAAATAACAAGAAAACGCCCATTCATGCAGTGTCGTCAGTCCGGTGAAGTCGTTACATGAGATGCAAATACAGTCGCAGAGGTAAACAGAGGCAAACGCGAGTTTAAAAGGGTCAGAAAGGTGACGAGGCCGGTGACGAGGCCAACATCTATGGACTCAGTCCGAGGTCATCATTCAAGTCAGGGCCAAAGCCGGCCATATCGACAGAGTGCAAGGATCCAGGTCCCTTGCCCAGGGAGATGTCGGAGGATGCATAGTCATGCTTGAGTCGTTCGTGTGGTCCGAAGATATGCGGCCCGAAGAACGGTCGGTTCTCGTCATTTGGAGTGTTGCCATCCCCGCCGACCCACGGCCCGTTCTGCCAGAAGCGGGTATTCGCTTGCTGATCTCCGAACAGATCGTGGTGGTCCGGGTGAGGGTCTGGGCCATGGATGGGGAACTCGTTTGGCGACTGGAATCGTAGATGCGACCGACCGAAACTGGAGCATGGAGAATCGGCGTGGAGCGGCATATCGAGACCTGAGAGAAGGGGGGATCCTCCACCGGGGTGATGTCAATCGTCGGATTTTCTGTTTGCTGTGCCAAAGCCGCCGACAACCGGAGATTGGAGGATGAACTTTGCCGGCTGTGAGTAGTCGATCGCTCAATTGCACGCTGCACGAAGCTACCACAGGCCTTCAAGACCTTTTCTTGATGCTCCGGTGACAGATTGTTGAAGAAATCGTTCGACAGGGATGGCTTGGGCGGGTCGTCTGCTGCAGGAACTAATCCGTAGGTAGCCTTTGCGTATTCGGAGAGACCCGACGGCATATTATAGGGAGACTGGTAAACATTGGGTGCTAACGACCGTTGCTGATCCAGGTAGGCATATTTTCCAGGCATCTTAGCAGCAGCCACGCTACCCCGATCGACGGTCTCCTGCTTGATACCCTCCGACTCTTTCCTCTGAATGACATCGAGTCGCTCGCGGTGGCTGACTAGCGAAAAGCGGAGCATCTGAAGGAGTCGAGTGACCTCCTCCGACCGCATGTTCAGAGTCTGAGGCGGCAGCAGAGTGCCATCCGCCGCCCGGGGCTGAACCCGTTGCTGAGCCATGGCCAGTTCCAGCTTCTCGAGGCCATTCGCGGGTGGTATTGAGCCCATCGGACCCAACAGCGTCTCCACCACCAATTCGGGGCTGACGATAGTGTATCCGGCAAAGACATTAGCGTGGTCGGTAATTTGGGCTAACCGGCGGCGAGCAATAAGTTCTCGGACATTGGCAAAGGTATTGGTGGGTGGGAGGTGATGCTGCTGCTGAGCGTGCGACTTGGCGACCGAAGGATAGGGGGCATGACGGGCAGACTGATTGGGCAGAGTTCGAAAGGCCGACGGCATCGCAGGAGCACCAGCAGCAGCACCGGCAACAGGGATAAAAGGAGGGGGAGGGGCGAGGTGCTGCAAGGCAGAAGAGGGCGGTCGGGATTGTAGGTGAGGGGCGTTGACATTCGAAGAGTAAATATTTTGCTTCTGATGCTGGTTTTGCTGGTTTGGCTGATTCAGGTTTCGGTAGGGAGGGGCAGGGGCGGTGGCAGCATAATGAAAGTGGTGGGGTGAGATCTTCGATGCACGAGCGCTGACACCCATGCCAAGCGACTTGACGCTGTCCAGGAAATTGGCCCGAGGATTGTGGATGGACACGCTAGGGTTGTGTGTATACTGTGCCCTACTTTCGGTGGACTGCATGCCCAAATAATACCACATCTGCTCTCCCTGGAGGTTGACCGTCCTGAGTGGGGCGAATTGATTCCTAGTCGCATCCACTGTCTCAAATTCAGCCCACTGATAGGGAGATTGTGAATCGCCGAATGCACTGCCTGCCGCCGGTACCGCTGATTCTAACTCCTTTCGCTGTTCGGGTTTTCGCGCTAGGTGGGCTGGGAGGGGTTGGATTCCTAGTGCGAGGGGCGTGAAATTGCTCTTGCGAACAACAAGCATCCAGCGATAGGGCATTTCAATCACATCTCTGTAGATTTATTAGTGTGAGCAGAAAATCAGACAGGGGCCGGGGAAAAAAAAAACTTACCCTCTGGGGAGCACCTTGAGCAAAAGACTTCGCTCCGAGGGACGATTTTCAAGAACAATGGCGCCATTAATCTCCTTGTCGGCTTGAAATTGGATCAAATTTCCTTGCACCAGACGACGAGCCGATTCGATTACCCGACGATCCACATCGGACGATTCACCCAGGACTCCATTAGGCCGCTTCTGGCGATGGAACTTGCATTTCAAATCCACACTTGGAATGGAGTACTGCGTGCCATCATCGGCAATGACAGCAATCGCACCGTGCTCAACCTGAACACCCGCCAAAAGAGCACAGGTTGCATGATAAGCGCGCGTGCATTTTCCAAAGTTACACTGGAAGCAGGCCCCGCGGACTTCGCGGCAAAAGAGACATTTAAGACCCAGGCGAGCCTTGGGGATTTTGTCAATGTCACACACAACTTCCGTACCAGATGCGTCACGGAGAATTGTGGTCTCTTCAATGAACGCCGCACACCGTCTATGCGCATGCCCTTTGCCATCTTCGGTCGGCAGAAGATCCTCATAGTCCAGATTGTTAGGGCATAGCAAGCACGGGAGCTTCCGTGGTCCTTCTGGGTGGAGTTTGGGTCGTTTGGTATTCGGCCCGTCGCCCGGATTCTTCCGTTTTCGGCCACGAGTGGATGTCTTCCCAGGCACACTACGTGGCGGTGTAAGAAGATCAGAAGCACCTTCAAAGCCATCGAATTCGCTCTCGAATTCACCATAGTACTCAGGTGTGCTCTCGCCACGCAGCTTGCGCTCGATCTCGTCCACATCGATCCAGACACTGTCTGCTTCGCAGTTGCACTTCTTCGCGATGCGAGCATAGTCTAACCATTGCTCGGTCGCGAAGTTGACCGACTCGGCGCAATTGTATCCGACGTTATACCCAGAGTGGTACCCGTAAGGAAATGTGATCACAAATTCTCCTTCGTAATGAACCAACCGATTGACGGTGATCCCATACTGCGATTTGAGAAGGCTAGGCGAGACGAGGTAGGTTTTGTGACGAAGGAATTGATCGCAGTTCTTCGCATCACTGGACCAGATACTGCGCATGACCTGTTCGAAGCGAGGTGCATCTTCTTGGGAGATGCTGTACCACTGCTTGGGGGCACCGAAGTGGATGTAGTTAATGCTGTACAGATCTACATCCTCAAGATGCCAAGCAAAGGTAGCCTTCCACATGCCCATGTAGAGATAAGCAGTGTTGACTCCAGGAACCTTCTGCCCGAGGACGTCAAGCAGATTCGGCAACTTGGCGACATTCCAGATTTCTGTGGAATCCTCGAAGAGCGAACCGGGCATGTCAGCTCCGTACATCGGATTGTTATACATGAGTGACTTCCAGTAATTAGTCTCAAGCTCCTCGCATCTTTCCGCGGTGTATTCTTCATGATCATGGATCCGGTAATCAAATCCTGTGTACGCCTCCTCGTCGGCTTGATCAATGGCATCGCCTCGGTTGTTCTTTCGGCGTGCGGTCACGGACTTGGGTTGTCGTCCCTTTGGTTTTATGGTAGGTAGAGATTCGCCTTCACTTAAATCCTCGGTCTTCGGCTGCACGGGGTTGGTCTCGGGTGATACAGGCGTTGGGGGACCCTCCAATCTGGTCTTCTCGGCGTCATCTGCAGGAGGCTCCTCTTTGACTTTGACCTGATTTGACCGTTTAGGGGGGCGGCCAGGCCGGCGCTTCTGACCCTCGGGGCGGACAGACGGGGCCCGTGGTGTCGGGGCCGCACGGTTCACGCGTTCTTGGTTTCGGCGTCTCTCTCCTCGGCGAGCCGGGGGTTGGTGGCTGCTTTCTTCACATAGACCCTTCCACTGAGGAAGGTTGTACGAGCGTTGGCGTTCGATGTTGGCTTGGGTGTATGTACCGTGGGATCCGTGGAACTCTTGCATGATGGGATTCTTCACTCGAATTTTCTTGACTGCCTCATCCAGCGGTGGAAGAGAGTCGGACCTTGAAAAGTACAAAGTCATGAGCACAGCCATCCACATTGGTCTTCATTTGATCGACTCACCATTCTTTCGGAGGAATGACTTTCACGATGCCTGCCTGCATTCCATATTTATTGATTTTGTTGATGAAGCCCTGGAAGTCTCGGAATTGGTCCATCGTCTAAAAGAATACCACAGTCAGCCTGGCTCTGGAGGTATAGGCGTTACTGCCCAGTCTCACGTAACTAGGAGATCTCCAACCCTTGGTCATCGAGCAGCAGGGCATTCGCGTGGAACTCACCGGCTTGAAAACAGGAACCTTGCCGCCGCCATAGTAATGATCAGGCTCAATTTCTTCAATTTCCTCAACTTTCTCCTCCACTTCTTCCTGCTTGATCTTAGATGTATCGGGTGCCGGGGCAGATTGGTGGTCAAGCTCGAGGTCCGATAACTCGGAGGGCACGCCTTCAGGCGCTTCCTTTTGCCGTTGGCACTCTGCGGCGGAGTGATGGAGATTTCGACGACAGGTTCGCCTCCGAGCGAGTCGCGCTGCGACTGATCGAGTGCTGTCGCCATCATCGAGGGCGATAGAGGAATGTTTGGGGAACGGTACAGCGTATGAGTTGCCGTCGTCGGATAGTGCGACCGCTGATCGACGGCGTGAAGGGAGTATTTCCCAGCGGTCGGGGAAATGGGAACAAGCGCTGCGACCGAGCGAAAGGAAGCGCGATATTGTTGGGGTCAAGGGCACCAGTATTGGTGTGTTGAGGGTGGTCGACACACTCCTTGAGTGTACAGAGTACAACGGAGGTAGGTAGTTGAAACGATTGCGATAAGCTCTTCGCGGGTGGTTGTTTTTGCCTAAACTGAACAGAAAGGCGAACTGTCTTAGTCAGGTCACCAGTAAAAGACAGAAATTTGTGAGACAGGAAGTTGTAGTGTAGGCAGAGGAAACCCTTGTACGGAGTAGCAAAGGCAGCGCTAGGTTCTCCATGAAAAAGGTAGAGAAGTGCAGCAATACCAGAAATAGACCAATCATGCAGGTGCCGGCGACGCTTGAAGGTGGAGTGCACGATGGGCTGATACTGGAAGGAGGCAGGGGCAGGTGGGCACAGGGTGAGGAATGATGGGCTTGAAATTGGACAAATCAGAGCGCTAATATGGGAAGGGTGGGAATCGTCCGATCAGAGAGCAAAGTGGACTTCGGGGCGACTTTGGCCTGGGCGCCTAGGAGCCGCGAAATGATTCGTACCGTATCCGGTCTCGGACGGGTAAAAGGTTTGCAGGTCTCAGGGGAGTACAAGTTGATCGCAAACAAATTCAAACTCACTAAATCACTGGAATGGCAGTTAACGCCTGCGAATCCAAAGAAATGCAAAGAAGCGCAGAAGCAAAGGTGGTATCACGATGGTCAAAATAGAGCTTGGTCATAGCACCTTGAAGCTTTCAGTAATGGGTCACGTGACAAAGATGTAATTTAAGATTATGTGATCTCCATGTTCTGGATCTGTTATTTTACCGTTATTTACTCAATTTCGTACTGTCAAACAAGTTTGGTATTGTCACGGATCATACAATGCTCAGCCAATCTCGGATACCATCGGAGCCGAGCGTTTCCTCCCTTGATGAGATCAGTGATCAACATCAAGATTAACTGCATGTATACAGTCCAGGACTTATATCCTAGAACATATGGGCAGTATAAGTCCTAATTATTCTTGCATCCTCTATTGTTTCTATGTTATAAGCGCTGAATTGTCTTATAACTTGGCGATTTGTTCTCCGTATACGGAGTACATCCATCCATACTTAGGCTAGAACTCTCTATATTAATCAAGCGAGACCTCCGAGGCGAGTATACAATCTACACTCTCTCCGTGATATCTTCTAGCATTATCATTACAGGGTAGTCTTATGTTCTTCTCGCCATGATCATACATATACTAATCCGGGAAAATAAAGGTCCGGTCGGATGAGGCTCTAGTGGCTGGCCAGTTCGTTCACTTTATGTACCTACATCATGCGGTAGATAACTATATGTGTCTACCGGGGAAATATGACGTATATTCAGAAGTGTACAGCATACAATGTACAACTCAGACATGTACTCCGTACATCACTTTGTATTATCCATGTAAACAAAAATACATAAGAGTGGACCGTGTTGGTCCTTCTTTGGAAATTGAATTGTAGATCTGTGGATGCATGAACGGTCCGTTGTCAGGATCTCTAAAATCTAATATTAGTTAGAGCATTGAGGTCATCGAGGCGCTTGGATCACTCTCTGTATGATCACATCCATGTTGTATCTATTTGAAACTATTGCACCCATTCATCGAACAGCTGGGTATCCAAATTAATATATCCATCGACAACCTTCAATCCCCGCAGGCGTTCCTGTTCAATCCGCTCCCAGGTCCACTCTGCGACATCCCACGAGTCAGTATTCTCCTTCTGCTGCTTATCCAGTGTCTCCTGGCTCGGAATCTGCTCATCGTTTATCTTCAATACCTCCCGAGCCAACGATCCATCCACACCTCCCATGGCCGTGATACCTTCACCACTAGCAGGGGTGCCAACGTCGGAAGCTTCGGCTGAGGAATCGACGTCGGCTAGCGCGGTCTTGTCTTCACTCCCGGAGGACGGCGCGGGAAGGAATCCGCTAGCGCGTAGAAGCCGCTCCGGGGGAACAGTCAGCCGGCCCTTCTTGACCACGTACTTGCTAAGGCCCACAGCAAGGACCACTTTTTCGCCGCCACTGTGGCTTGCAGGTCGCATGAAGCAGGTCAAGATGTACATCCACTTCGCGTCCCAAGAGATCACCTTAGAGTGCATCTCATATAGTTCGTATGGCTTGATCTCGCGCTTGAATGTGCAGTAAACAGATCCGAGTACAATCGACATTGGCTTGCGCCTTGGCGCCGGCTTTCCCTCCTTCTTGCTTGCGGCTAGGAACTCCTGGTCGAGTTCCTTGCTCACATTGCCGACTCCAGGACTGTAAAGTCGGGTCACCAGCGTTGTACGCGAAATGTCCAGATCCGTGAAGTAAGTGCTGTTGGATTTGTGCAGGTTGTAATCGGTCTCTAGCAACGGCGTGCGAGATGTGACCATGCATGGTACGAAGATGGGATGTGTTGGTTTGCCTCGGGAGTCCACAATGAGTCTCCCCTTGGGAAAAAGTGGCGCACTGGGTTTCAAACGTAGGTTGCTTACGAAGTGATACAGCAAACGGAACTGGTGACTCGGTCAGTAGTGTAACATACCATGGGGGGAGGTCAATTACAGGAAGTTAAAAATTTGACAGTCGAACAAGGGCAAGGAACACTTACGTGCCAAGAAAATGGGAGACTTTTCAAGTTAGTCACTGCAAGAAGCATGGCCAGGTTCCTCCATGAGGCGAGCGACATTACGCCTGCTAGTATCTCGCGTGTATACTCCATGATGACCCCGAGAATTTCAACCAACACAGAAGAGAACGGCTGATAGTTTCATACAGGTACTCGAGAGATGAGAGACTTTGAATCAGACAGACTTCACCAAACGCAATTAAAGAGAGACAGAATAATGTATAAAAAGGAATGAAATGGTGGACCCAAGTTCACCTGAATTGATGAGTCCAAAAGCCGAGCCTGCCGATATCGTGAATTCCCTTTCGGAAGCCGAGGCCGAAACTTGGGCACGTGATATCGTGATTACTCATTCTCTCAGCCTGCACGCTCTCTCCTAGAAAACCCAAGTGCCCAGAATCTCCTAGATGTCAATAGGTTTTCGAAGCCGTTTATGGGTGAAAACGGCAAGAACAAGCCAATTACCCTTCACCGACAATAGTCCCGCAGAAGGAGCTCACCATGCAAGCATCGGGGAAAATAGTCAAAGCTTACAAGCATTGGATCCGAGAATTATGCTGACACCATGACTTGACCAGACGTTCCCTACCATTCCATCCTCGCACAGTTCTTTACGTACCGAAAGTCCCATCCCATCGTTTATTCTACCACGTTGTCCTGCCGCGTCGCCGTACGCGAAGCCTAGCTGCGAGAGCTTCATGGCCGGGGTTTGGGTTCGTCAGGAATTGTGCCAGGATGGAACAATGGCAGGCAACGTTTAGTCGAGTCAGTGTTGGCATAACCCTCGGATCCCGGTTGCATGGTGGGCTGATCTATGGATTCCAATGATGCTACCCAGGACCTGATTTGGCCTAGGAATAGTTATTGTTGATAAGAAGTAGTTGATGTTTGACTAATTCTATAGTTCTAATGCACAAAATAGGGCCTGAAGGTATCTCAGCTGCTCATTGGCCAAATAGTTATGCATTCATCAAATGTATATCAAATTCACCACACTACATTCATAGATCTATGATTCGACCTCGTGAAGTTTGTTGAATTTATACTTTCCCGCTTGGAAAATAAGCTTCATTCAGGAAAACACTCGGGCTTTACTTGAAAAAGAAGTGAAGATACTGATTTGTTACAGCACTATCTGTATGGTCTGGGTCGAATGTTGTTGCAACTATGGGAAAAGGTTATATGTCATTTTCAGCCATAGTGAATCAACACATAAAGGATCAACGGCCACATAAGAAGGACCGGTACCTGACCATAAGCCGTGGAAGGTTAATTTATAGGCACCCTTGACAATAGAAATGGCACTCGAGCATCGAATAATACTCTGGCTCATTGTGATCCCATATTAACAATGGGGAGGGAGTAGCAAAAAGGCAATATGTTGCTACACTCAACTTTGATTTGCACTCAAGTTGAGATACAACACATTTTTTCAAGTCACAACATTGGTCTTTACACCTTCTCATTACCTCTTTTCAAATTCCCCCATTGCTTCCCAGGTAACCTCAACCTCAACCTCAACCTTTCAGTTATTGATCGTTAGCGAATCTGACCAACACCTCGTGCGTAGGCACTTTTAATTTGAAACTTCCTTCCTAGGTCCAAAATAACACATTTTCTTCGTTACCTCCTGCCTCCTGCTCGTCTCTGGCAACGCCTGTCAGCACCAAAAAGCCTTGAGACTGTTCATCATGTCGGACGATATCACCCTCGCAGGTTATCTTTTCGAACGCCTTCATCAAGTTGGCCTACATGCCGTGCATGGCGTCCCCGGAAACCATAACATCGGAATACTGAGAGAAGCCACTGATGCGGCGCTCGAATGTGTCACACACCGTAGCGATCTTAGTGTCGGGCTTGTCGCAGATGGATATGCACGAGTCAAGGGTATCGCCGCTGTGATATCTTCGTTCGAGAATATGTCACTCTCGGTCTCGACGGCAATCGCTGCCTCATACCGGGATAGAATTCCAGTCGTGCTTGTGATTGGGACACCTGAACGAAAGGCGCAAGCGCAGGCTTCCAAATTCCACCATTCATTCTTCGACGCGCAGCCTAATTTTCCTCGTCAGCCTGATGCCTTCCAAATACTCGCTGACTGCTTCAACAAAATTACCATTACCCAGGAGTTTCTTGTTCACCCTAGCGAGGCGACTGCCCAGATTGATACCGCCATTCGAGGATGTATCATGCAGTCTCTGCCTGTTTATATTGAATTGCCGGAAGATTTGGTCGACAGTATGGTACCGCTGAAGGAACTCGTTCAGCGCCTGGACTTCAACACTCCGCCTCACGATGCTGAGATCGAACAAACGGTAGTGGCAAGTATCATGAACAAGATTAGGCACGCACAACGACCGGTGATTCTCGTGGATGCGGGTGTCCCATCTTGTGGTCTTACCAAGGAAGCAAGCCAGCTGGCGAAAAAGACTAGATTTCCAACTGCTGCGACCCAGTTCAGCAGAGGTGTTGTAGATGAAACACTCAAGAACTTCCATGGGGATATCTCGGATTTCGACATGTACGGGTCATATTTCAGATCGTCTGATCTGATTCTTCTTATTGGACCTCTGAATACCACCAAGTGGGCTGTTCCCGCTGTGTTCGAGGCGAAGACAGCAGAAACCGTCACATTTAATAGAAATTCCGTTGTCATCGGGGACCAAAGTTACGAGCTCTTCTCTAGACCTGTGCTTCAGCGGATTCTAGACTGCCTGACTGAGAGAAAGCTGCGTGACCTTGTGCCCTACCCCAATTTACCCAATGTCCGCGACAGCATTGAAATGCTCCCAACTCAGAGAAATACTGCATTACTTCAGCATGACATTTATTCCACATTTTGGCGACGGATGTCTCTTTTTTTCCGTTCGGGTGACATTATCTTGACTGAAACCCAAACAGCTCAGGATGGAGCACGCTCATTTGTTTTGCCGCGGGATACAACCATAATCAATCCTGGTATCAGGAAGTTCGCCGGACACATGCTTGCTACCACCTTGGGTGTCGCTTCGGCAAAACAAGGCCTTGCCAAAGCAACCTGCCGGCTTTCGCACGGACGAACAGTTCTCTTTGAAGGAGTCAAGGGTTTCCAAGAGGGCCGAAATGACCTCAGAGCCATCATCGATAACAAGCTCAATGCCATCATATTCGTTATCAACGAAGGAGAACCCATCGTTGAAAGGCTAATGCACGCAATGGAGTACCGACAGCAGGATTCTGGTCACTGGCGATACGCAGAATCCGTTTCTTTCTTTGGAGCCCCAAATGTGACATCTTACCCGGTCTCTTCCACCATAGCCAGAACATGGGGCGACATTGACATCATTTTCCATGATGAGATGGTTCAATCCGGGACAGGGCTGCACGTTGTGGATGTCATGATCAGACCCGGAGATCCAAATCAAAGCCCGTGTATTCTTACGGAGATATATGGCCCGCCCCCGAGCCCGTTTACCTTGAAGAAGCATCACATCAAGCAAGATTGATCGCCGCGAAGTGAGATTGGAAAGACATTTGGGCTCTGAACCATGTAAGATTAGACAAGTCACAAGATACTTTGCAATGTGATGTTCAGTTATCAAAATTGCGCCCGCAAAATGTAGAGAATGTTGAAACAAAATAGACAGAAAGACAAGTACGTATACATAGAAATAAGTAATATCATCCTGAATCCCCTCTATATAATAAAATCCAAACACCATCTATGCTGACAACTCTCGGACCATAGCCCATATAGTAAACTCCTCCAACGAATCCCAGAACCCCTTAGGACGCCTCTGGCTACCAACAACAGTGAACCCCTGTTTTAGCCAGTAGCCACCAGTGTCCTCTTTATTAACCCGAGTCATAATTCGTAGCGGAGACGACACATCCTTTCCATTGACCCGATGCCGACGCAAGATCTCTTCTTCACACGCCCTCACAAGATGACCAGCAATACCCCTGCCGCGGTATTGTGGACCTGGGGGAGAGCAACAACAGCAAGCTCATAGTCGCCGGGACAAGCCTGTCGGTGCAACATTTGATCGACACATCGAGTATTGGCAGCGTCTTCATGCCCGTTTTTAGTTGTAGGCATCCAAAGGCCGTCGTCTTTCCATTTCTTTATACTTGCGGTCCCGACCAATTTGGGTGTTTGATCTTCGGCATCTTCAATAAATGCCACCGCGGTGAATCCGTCTGCACCAAGCTCTTCGGACAGTGCGGAGTCGGTGTGAAGTCTGGTCTTATTTGTGGAAAACTTTATTTTGGCGGTGTGGCTGACACGGTAGCTGGCGTTCACCATGGACGTAAAATCTGAGATCCAGGGTTGATTGGGAAGAGCTGATGATGCATAGACCTTGATGTGGAAGTCCATTTTGGGATCCATGTTTGGACCTGGAGTTGGGATTGGAGGCACCTGGAAAGTTTGGTGAGATGCAGGATGAACTAAATATAAGAAGATATCTTGTTTATCCCAGGAAATTTCTACAATTTCCAATGTGGGGTTGAACACCGACACGGAGCTAATAATGAGTCACAGAAACCTACCTCGGGAGGTTATCTAAATTCTAGCCGACATGATAACAAATCTCTTTGAAATGCAAGTCCCGAAAATAAAGATGATTTCTTAAGCTGTTTGGTCTGTAGATACGGACTAGTGCTATTGAATTCGCTGTTGTGGAAGTAGACAAGGGGCATCGATGGGATAGGAATGGCCCAACCACAATCATGGGGGCCCGCAAGTCAGAGAAACTTAGAGCACATACTGTTGAGAGTGAGTATATAGTTTCAAAAAGAAAGTTGTAGTAAGAGCTCACCGGAATGAAGAGGCTTGGAACCTGCCTCTCATACTCATCCCATGTCTTCCCATACTTGTTTTTACATTTGGTGATATCCCTCATGGCTCGGTGGCCGATCATGACCGCGAAGAAGACAGGGTAGAACCAGGGAAGGGGGCTGTCGAACCCGGTGATTAGGGCCCACGACAAAGCGAAAAACATATCGCAACTGTAATGGATCTTGCGAGCCAATCGGTACCACCCATCAACGAAAATGGTATCGCCGTCGTCTGTCACAAGTGTCTTTGGATTGTTAACGTGGCGCCAAGGAAGCTGGGGGAAGGTATTGCGCGTAACCATTTTGCCTCGCTCCATCATGCGGAAGGCGTTCTTCTGGCTGTTTGCAGTGTCCCAGACCCAGTAGACGCAAAGATATGACACAAACAATACCGCCAATGCATTTTTGTTCCATGCATATGTTGACGGGTGACGATTAGCCAGGTACAGAACGCAGTGGCAATATGACATAGGGACGCCAGCCATGTTCCAGAAGATCAACAAGAATCCCAGTTTCTCCTGGTACATGTCCCATGTTGTGGTGATGAGGTGCTCTGCCTTGGCGCAGGCATTGGCGTAAAGGAAGTGTGCCATGACAAGGAACATAACTTCACCGGAGACATAGGCGTAGAGTTCATATTGGCGAGTGGCAGCTGCGCAGCTCAGACCCAAGAGCATGAACCATGGGATACGGACTTCGTAGAACATCTTAAAGTCCAGGATCCCGAACATGCGTGGGTTGAGTTCTGCTCCCATGAAAAAATCATAGATTGGGTAACCAGTGATGCGGTGCTGGGTACCTCGAGCAAATGCAGAGAAATAAGCGAAAAAGCTGGCGAGAAACCCGGACAAAATCGCCACAGACATCAGAGGACCGAACTCATCTAGGATAGTGTAGATTGGGAACATTCCAGTGTAGTGCAGAGCAGCCATGACAACCATTGTGAAGTACAAGCTACTGTAAGCGGAGCAATAATACTCCAGCTGCTTGCCTTTCAAATGGCGAAGAGGCTTCCCATAGCACGTGAACCCAGGCATGAAGATGTAGCATGCTGCCTCGAAGATGTAGAATGTCCAGTAGATGCGCCACGCTCTAAAGTGCGGAAACGCACCGATGTAAACAAGGTGACACAGATGCTTTCCGAAGTCCGCCCAGGACTGTCCGTTTTGCGGCAGAGGTAGTTTCCCGTCATAGTAGGTAGCACCGATCCACATGTACCACATCAGCAATGGGAAGCCAATCATAAGTGCCAAGTTACCGAGTGAGCCACCGAATTCGAATTCATCTGAGTAGTCCACTTTGGTGTCCATGCCGGGTATCCATCCACCAGCGAGTTGCGCTTGCTTGAAGTCAGCGCGCGAATTTGACTTGTCAACAACCCGAGGATTGCCATCCTCTGAAGACTTGACTTGGTCATCCATCTTGAGAACTTGAGACTATGGTATTAATTGAATTGATGGAAACCAAGGAATTGACGCCAACAAAGTACACTCACAGTCAAAAAATGGTCCGAGCTGATACAGGAGAAAGGAGAAGGAGAAAGGGGAGGAGGAGAAGGAAAGGAAAGGGACGAGGAAGGATGAAAGAAACAGGAAGGACCAAAGGGACCGAGTATTGTTAACCTTGGGAACCTCGAACCTGAGAAGTCAGGCCAACGCAATGATGCAGTTCCCGTTTGGGTTTAGACCCCGCCGTCTTTATCCCAATTAGGATTAGACCCCGCTACTAGCGTTACTTGGAAATAGTGCTTTGGTTGTATTATTGCATTTCCAGGGCTCCTACTTGCTTCATAGCTCAGATAATTGGGCAGCACGAAACACTCTACACTTGACCTGGGGATACATAATAGCGCCATCACTAGCGCTTGATAATTTCTAGCTTGGTTGTCATGAGAGCTGCTCGCTAGCTTTTTTTTTGATTAGCCTCAATACTGATAGAGTAAACCTCCTAAGCCTCCGACAACCTGTTCATTCTCGATGCTGTTAGGCTATTTCCTTATGTCTATTAGGTCAAAAGAATGCAATGGCGATGACGGATACCTAGCCTATACATGTAGGTATGATGTGACGTCAGGTGATCTTATCGCGGATTCGCATTAATCAGCGACGCTTATCAACCCGCCAGTCCCCCGAGATTGGACTTCTCGCCGAACATTCACCTCGCTATGACTGATCGGTCGGTCCCATGAATTATCAGACCATCAGTATGGACGGCAATGTCCCCGAACAGCGTCAGCGCACTGTGGGAGGGCCGTCCCTGGATCAGCCGCCCACAGATCCTATCGCTGATCCCGCGCAAGCTCGCGCCACATCCCCTCAGAGCTTCACTCCGCGCTCACTTCTCGTCGGTCTTATTATTGGTGCTCTCATCACATTCTCGAATACCTATTTCGGCTTGCAGACAGGATGGATCAGCACAATGGCAATGCCCTCGGCCTTGATTGGCTTTTCGGTCTTCAAGGTTCTATCCAAGCACCTGTCTTTCCCCTTCACACCGGTTGAGAATGTCTTGATACAAACGGTTGCCGGTGCAGTGGGAACTATGCCCCTTGGATGCGGATTTGTTGGCGTCATCCCTGCCCTGGAGTTTCTGTTGAAGCCTGGCGAAGATGGACCCGAAGGCGATGGCGGAGAAGGCGAAGGAGGTCCTTTGAAACTCGGTTTCTGGAAGTTGGTTATCTGGAGTCTGGGAGTCTGTCTCTTCGGGGTGGTGTTTGCGGTCCCACTACGAAAAGCTGTCATCGTCCGAGAGAAGCTGCGATTTCCGAGTGGTACTGCCTCGGCGTTGATGCTCAAGGTCTTGCATAGTTCTGGTAGCGAGGAAAAGGTTATAGCACCAGAAAGTTCCCGTGCGGGTATTTTGAACACGGAGGCCGAAACAGCTGGTCCATCGCAAGAAGACACAGGCCTCTTGAAGGATGGCGATGCTGAAGACCAAGCTTCCAAGGAGCAAAATTGGCGCTCGAAGATGCGCATCTTACTTGGATCGTTTACAGTATCGGGTGTATATGTGAATATCTCCAACTGGACTCTGCAAAGTTCATGCTAACTCAATTAGACTCTTTTCTCCTACTTCGTCCCTCTAGTCCGTGCCATCCCTCTGTTTGGTGTGGGCATGGCGGATAACTGGCTGTGGACCCTCAACCCGTCGCCAGCATATATCGGCCAGGGCATCATTATGGGTCCATCAACGTGCATGCACATGCTTTTCGGGGCAGCCTTGGGGTGGGGCGTTCTATCACCGTTGGCTAAGAGCCGCGGCTGGGCTCCCGGCCCGGTTAATAACTGGGAAGATGGCAGCAAAGCATGGATTGTCTGGATATCGCTAGCCATTATGCTTGCTGATTCACTTGTTAGTCTTGGGTGGCTGGTGCTCAGGCCCATCCTGAAGTACTCTCCAAGATGGATAGTCTATTTCCGATCCACTCGCGCTGGTCAGTGGATTGCACTCCGACTACATTCTTCTCAGCACTCATATATCAACTACTCCGCCTTGGAGTCAGAGTCTCATCTTTTGGCTCATGAAGATGCCGCCCAACATACACTATTAACTGCAAACGAAGAGGATAAGGATGATGCACCGCCATCTGAACTCATCTCAACTCGAACAGTAGTGATTCTCCTTCCTTTGACTCTCCTCCTGAATGTCGCATGCATGCACTTTGTCTTTGGTGACATCATTTCCCCTTTTCTGTCGACATTGGCAACTCTGCTGGCAGTACTACTGTCTATTATGGGTGTCCGGGCTCTCGGCGAGACCGACCTCAACCCAGTTTCGGGTATCAGCAAGCTGACACAACTTCTCTTTTCACTCGCCACGCCAGCATCCCATTTCTCCAGACGCACCGCATTAGTGACGAACCTGCTTGCGGGTGCAGTCTCCGAGTCAGGAGCTCTGCAAGCCGGTGATATGATGCAAGATTTAAAGACCGGTCATCTACTCGGCGCAAGCCCGAAAGCCCAGTTCTATGGCCAGATAATTGGCAGTCTTGTGGGTGCAGTTCTATCAACTGCCGTATACAAATTATACGTGAACGTATATGAGATCCCGGGCGAAATGTTCCAGACACCTACCGCCTATGTCTGGATTTTCACTGCTCGCCTTGTGACCGGTCAAGGGCTGCCCAAAATGGCTGGACAAGTCTCTGTCATTGCTGGTATCGTGTGGGCATTCCTTACCGCCTTGAGGATCGTAGCTGCGTCCCCTGCCTTTGCACGCAACGGGAAACCCCCTCCTTGGAGATCTTGGATCCCCGGCGGTATCGCTGTTGCCGTTGGTATCTTTAACGAGCCTTCCTTTACCCTGGCGAGAGCCATCGGTGGTATCATTGCATGGTGGTGGTCGCGGAGGCACTCTGAATCGCTCAACCAACAAGTGGACAGCGGAAACGCCACTACTATGGGATCGTCTCTGGAGACTGAATTACAGGATGCGCAGCGATCATCAATATCAGCCGAACAGGCATCTGAAAAAGCAGATGCCGCCTCCTCGACTGTCGTCGTTCTTGCCTCCGGCCTCATTTTGGGTGAAGGTATCATGAGCATTGTGAATCTTCTTCTTGCAAGTGGGCGCGTTCCACATCTCTGATCAGGAGAGATACGAGAAAATGCTCCCATCGGCATGTACATGATTTTTTATTATCAAAAGCACGTATTGTATTTAGAGATTATGTTTTGAACGATCTTAGATGAATGTCAGGTCATTTTTCGCGGCCTTTAATGATTTCCAATCTACTGCCACTTCCTGGAATCGCCTGTCTCATATTGATATTGTTGCTGACTTCAAATTGGTCCCGACTACACGTGCAGTAAAAATATAGGAAAGGCATGTGCTAACAAGCCATGTCAAGAAAACAGCAATCTTGGTCTCAGGGTCTTAGTTGATCGTGTCTCAATTTAATAGCAAGATCTCTGCCAAGTCCCCCAGTCCCAGCCCCCCGCACCCCCGGGAAAAAGCTTGATGCTTCACTTTCCCCTGCACCAATTCGGATTACCAAGCAGAATCCACTCCATGGACCTAACTAGTTATCTCCGAGACGTGAGGACACTAAATTTTCAAATGGCGCTCTCCGCAATCCTGTCCTGGAGGGATCGGCCTGCTCCGACATCGGCTTCGGCATCAGTATCGTTTTGCCGAAGCAACATCTACTTAGCACGGAGTACTCCGTACTAGAGATGGGTTTTTCTCCATGAGACTAGCAACATCACTCTACGGTATTGATCCCAATCATGCCACGCATATGGTCGAAGGGCAGTTTTGTAATACAAGTCGAGCCCGAGAAGGATCCTGCATCTCTTGATCCAGCATACCTCGTCAAGTGGGATCAGGACGATGTATTGAATCCTCAAAATTGGACTCCCCGGTACAAATGGTGGGTGACATTTCAACTGGGCATGCTTGCTTTGGCGGGTAGTCTAGGGTCAAGCATCACCACGCCGGCCGATGACACCATCGCGAGGTATACTGGCGTGAGCAGCGAGGCTGCCGTGTTGGATGTGTCGCTGTATCTGTGAGTGGGATTGCAAAAAAACACCAAATACAATGCTAATAGTAATGCCAGCCTTGGCTTCGTCTTCGGACCTATCATCTGGGCCCCCCTTTCAGAAATCTGGGGCCGAAGAGTCAGCATACTCCCCGCCGTCTTTTGTCTAGCACTATTCTCCATCGGCACTGGCGTAAGCAGAGATGCAGCCTCGGTGTTCGTCACGCGCTTTTTCGCAGGCTTCTTCGGCTCTGCCCCGATTAGCAACGTCACCGCTGCACTAGGTGATATATGGAGTAAAGAGACGCGCGGGACCGCAGTCAGCCTCTATGCAGTGGCCGTGAATGGCGGCCCAGCGTTAGGTCCAGTGATTGGCGCAGCCATACTGTTGAATCCAAATATGGGCTGGCGCTGGACCGCGTACATCCACGCAATCTGGGTCTTTGTCATTTTCACCTTGACCTTCTTCTGTCTGCCAGAGGTATACCCGCTGGTGCTACTCAAGCGCAAAGCACAGCAGCTTCGGAAGGACACCAATGACTCGAGGTACTATCATCCCCATGAGCATTTGAAACTCGATGTCAAATCCGTTGTCACGAAGCAGCTCGCCCGCCCATTGAGAATGCTGTTCACTGAGCCGATTGTCACCTGCATTGCCTTCTATGCCTCCTTCGTCTACGGCGTCATGTACCTAACCCTTGAGGTATTTCCAATCGCGTTCCAGCAATCTCGAGGTTGGAACCGCGTTGTTGGCTCTTTGCCGTTCCTGGGATTGTTGATTGGCGTCATATCATCGGTAGGTCTCAATATCTGGAACCAATACCGCTATAACCAGATATCCAAGGAGGCGAATGGGAAAGCAGTACCTGAAGCACGACTTCCGCCTATGGCATTCGGGGCGGTATTCTTTGTCGTCGGACTCTTCTGGTTTGCTTGGACCGCTGAACCTCCTCACCACTGGATCCTGCCATGTCTGGCAGCCGTATTTATTGGCATTGGATTCAACTGCATTTTCCAACAGTGTTTGAATTTTTTGATTGATGTGTATAAGCTCTACGCTGCTAGCTCAACGGCAGCTGTCACTTTTCTGAGAAGCTTGCTGGCTGCCGGGCTTCCCTTGGCGGCTAAACCGATGATCAGGGCTTTGGGGATTGGTCCTGCTGTTTCTATTATCGGAGCTGTGGCTGCGGCTCTATTGCCAGTACCTTTTTTGTTTATGAAGTATGGCCCAAAGCTGCGAGGGTTATCAAAGCTTGCGCCTGAGGATTCTTAGGATTGTTGATAATTATAGAATAGATGGCTAGATGGTATTCCACTTTTATCCCTTTTCTAATCCTGGTAATCGCTAGTCACACCGGTCAAATCGCATATAGTCTCGTGGTTATTGACTGCAAATTTATATATTCCTTTGTCTTCAAGGTCATGTCCAAAAACCCCAAAACACCCTTAAACATGATGCAAATCCCCAAACAATACTTACAAGCAATTCAATCATCGCCGGCAGTTTCTGGTTGATCATCTGAGTTAGCAATAATGGGTTCGATCTCGAATCTTATCTGAACTCTATAGACCCAATTCCAAATGACTACTCGGGCGATACGTCTCGTACCTCTAGGGAGAGATGATATAAGAAGTATGGCAGCTGCTTTTCCTAATTTCGTGCCGAGAAGTTCCTCATACTCAGCAGTGCCACGTTCGACCTTCATGCACGACTCGTGCATCGCAGCTTCGAAATCGCGTCCAAGTCTGGGATAGAGTATCCGCCTGATATACGGTCCAGTCTCGTCATTAACGACATGGGTAAACATAATATACCTCAAAGTGGACATGGGGTGGTCATACTCATACACAGCCTTGGCGAATTCATTCCACTGGATGTTATCGTACCTAAAAATGGAATCAGCAACAAGCAGTCCCGGTCCGACCAGATGTGTATAGCTATTACTCAAACTTGGGAAGTTGAATCTCGCTAGGGTCTCTGGGTTCAGAACATTGTTAAAAAACGCTGTATGTCGGTACCTGTTTCCCTCGGTAGGGAGGCCCGTCGACTCGGGTTCGCCTCCGTCCATAAGGTCGCCCGGATCTCGGTGATAGCTTTCTCCGAGTTCAAAAACGTCTGGCGGCGGGGCGTTCATCAAGTCGTCTAGAGTTGCTGTTGCCGGGGCAATATTGCAGTCTGGTTCGTTAGGGTCTTCTAACCAAGCTTGTAGTTGAGCTCCTTTTTCTCGGTACCGGTTGATTGTCGTTGTAGAAGGCTTTTCATACATCTCATCGTCTGTGTTGAACTCTTCGGAATCACTAGAGGCGGCAACGTTTTGAGAAGTGAGTGGTTCTGGAAACAATAGTTCCGGTCCCCAAAGCTGTCCTTCAGTCGAACTCTCCCCACTGGTGCGCTGACGCTTCGAAGGGGGAGAACCGTGAGAGCTAGGAGCTGGGCTCCATTCTTGATTTACATCCTCAACCTCTTCGACATGCCCCCGCTTCCTACCGCTATAGGATTGCATGCTGTCGTTAGAGGATCTCAGGCTCCAAAGTTCGATTCGGCCAGACTGGTGCGTGGCCCTCAAGGGTATGGGAGCACGGGGACGCGGAGAACCGAAGTACAAGGCATCATCATCGGATGAAGACTCACTTTCACCTGCATTGGATAAGGTACGTCTATTCTGTGACATTCGGGCTAGAGGGTAGGTCAATAATTCGCCGGGATCGGCATCTGGCATATCAATATCACTGTCAGATCTGGGGGGAGAGGGATTGTCACTTATTCTACCATCACTGGCATCGTTCATATCGATATCACTCATGTCAGGTGTAATTTCTGTGCGAGAATTGCCATCATTGTCGGTGGCGGCTTCCTGAGGTTTAGCCTTGTTCTTAGGCTCAGCTGGCTTAGGGTCTTTACCTGGCTTTGGGGCTTTGGCTGTCACATTTTTAGGGTAAGTCATTGTAGGAGGTGCATTATGCCCGCCTTTAGGTGCCACTTTAGCTAGGGGCAGTGTTTGGCCATCGGAATCCGAGTCATCACTGCAGTCGCAGCGGCGGCCCCAGCATTTGAGGCTGTGGCAGAAACGCTTCATTGTTATGGTTGAGATAAGCTATACGTCGAACAATTGGATTGATAGAGAAGTTGAATTTAGAAAATGTTGGATCTGTTGTATCGTACTTGCTGGACGATGCTAGAATGGAGAGCAACAGAGAGATACTGGCGAAGCTATATACTTTTTCCAACGCCTCTGTTTCTGCTCAACATGGGTCTGCCTGCTAACCCACGGGCGTTGAAGCATCACGAAAATAGGTTCACCTCAAATAGAACCGCTTAGAACAAAAGGAGTAACAGTTCGAACAATGACGACAAGTGCATAGAGAGGAGTTTCAACGGCCAAGACAAAGAGACTCGAACTTGAGTTGACAATAAGGACGACTAATTTGGGAAAGCCAAGGATAGAACAAGGAACGGACAAAGAGGAGTCGAACAATGTAATGTTCGTCTAAGAAATAAAGAGCTAAAACAGCTACTATCTACCAAGGCCGTCAACAATGTAATCTGCTATTCTCGAATATCCAAGCGATAAACATAGTACATTGTTGAAGACAAGCAAAGATCAATATTAAGTTGCTCTCCAAAGGACGAATAAGCAATATATGACCTATCTCTAGATCTATACTCATGAATATTCTTGTTTGACCAAGTCCGGAGACACGGATCAACAGGTACGAGAGTCAGGCCATATCAGAAGTTTAGCCTGAATAACTCGGATCGGGCAGATTTATTAAAATGATCGAATATCGGATGTGTATCTATTTAGGCAAGCCGTACGTGTAGTATGCCGGGTGCCGCTGACGTCCTTAATATATTAATCTATGGCCCAGCCGGTATCCGAGGGCTGAAATTCCTTGGAGTTCTTGAGACCTACATATGTACCAGATAATCCCTGGCACTCGAGACCTTTCCCTTTCCCTTTTAGTGCTCACCTCTTGCCGCTTTTTGATCACTGAGTAAAAATGAGCACGTCCCTGAGTACCCTAACTTGATCACGGGTTATTATATGTCAGAATCTAGGATGAATACTGTTATTTTTCATCCCTGATACAGCTGGGTCACGTGATTGACCAGGCTGGTTTTTCGCCCGAAAAACACCCTTTCCTTTTATTTTATTTGTTTTGATTACTAAGTTGTCTATCATATTGTCATGTTTTAGGACTATTATTAGTTTTAGAGAGTTAGAGAATTTATTGAGATTTTTCTGCTATATATACACTCGCCTTACCACCGTTTTTCCGTCAAGTTCCAATATTCTATTTCATTATCGATATCAATTCTATTCATATAGTGTTTCTGAAAAGGGCTAGCTAAGGTCCTAGCACGGAATGCGACGATATATTAATTCAAGTTCTCAATTTTCGCATTTTGATCTTCTGTCAGAGTTTTCCATTCTTTAGCGTCCTTCAAATGTTCCAACCTATGAATCCTCTGGTCCACAAGGGCATTCACTCGCCAGCGATCCTGTGTTCCCTTCCTCTTCTGGCAACACCTCGGCACTGCTAGTACCTTCTTCCCAATAAACTCAGTCGGATCTACTGCAAATGAAAGCCATGTATTTGCATAAACACCATTATCATCCTCAATGTCAATGATGTTAATCTGTAAGACCTCGGGGTTGATATCGTCAGCTGGGACAAGATGGTCAAATGTTACACCATAATAGTCAATCAGCCTACTCAAATTAAAAGGAGAGAACTGATTAGCCATAGGGCCATCAGAGCTCGTTGCTTCCACTAGGAGAGATTGACTTACTCCTCCGGACGCTTCTCCGGCATCCAGCCCAAGTATTCATCCTGCACCACCAGATCACCCGGGACTTCCGGACAAACATCCCGTCCGTATATAGTCTGATACGTTAACCGTGCTAGCTCTGGGCCTGCTGGCTGTGGGAATGTTCGGTCTCCAAACTCCAGACGCCAATGGATATGTGGTAGGAGTCTTTGTATGGCGATTAGGGGACCTTCGATTTGGATTCTGAGCGGCTGATCAGATGGTGGGAGGTGATACCGGCCGGCGGGTGTGTGAATACAATGAGGAATGTAAAGTGGGAGCGCCATAGATGAGACCACTTGATTGCTGGAGTTGATTGAGGAGGCGCAGTGACTAAACCCGTTAGTGAGTGTAATCTTGGAAAGAGAGGGCACTAGATTAGGTTCGACTAGCTTTTTTATATGCCTAGGGAAGAGAACTACGATATCTCCTAGAGGGATACCGTGGGTATGACTGTGTACTGCGGGGTAATATAGCGCCGGGGCTTATCACATGACTTGGATCCAACATCTTCGGCTATTAAAACCTTCGAAGTATGGCGCTGATGTACCGATCAATACGCCGCTGCCTGGCCGTGCCAACCAACCAATCAATTTATACCTGATGGACGAAGCGCTTCGCTCTGCTTTCCCATAGGACCATTTCCCCCTGCAAATAATTACTGATAGAAATCCAGGTATGGCGAGCGTACGTGTGGCAGTAAGCTTGATGGGGGAAGAAGATGATACTATTATGACCCCCTTGGTGGGGGTGCTAGTTAGTTAACTAGTTATTACTCACTGATTAGATAACTAGTTACTGAGTATCACTGAGTAATCAGGGAGCACCCAATGAGCACTCACTGAGCACTTACTGAGCACTTACTGGCATCAGTCATTCTGCACGTGACTGGATTGAGCATGATCACCCTCATAAAAGCGGCGGCAGATCAAACAGGAAAGCCCCACCCGCCAGGGAAAATCCGGTACGTATAGTTACATGTATACATTGTAGATATTAATTATTTATTTCCCCAGGTGTGGTGCCGGAATATTTATTCCCCTCTGAGCCTCGAAGATTGCCTTTGCATCATCGTACTTTCAATGTAACATTTTCCATTCACTCGGGTCCATGCGGCGTTTTGGCGTATTTGGCGCATGTCATAACAAAGACCGGGGTGCTCTTAGTTAGTCTGTTCTCATTGGCCCAGACTACTCGCTTTGAGGGCATCCCGTCTCATTTGCTGCCGGGAGGTTGCATCGGTCTTGGCTGGCTTGGCCATGTCTTGCGCTATCCAACCGAATCCGTTTTCTACACTCCATAATATATCGGCAGTGGCAGTGTGAGGAGTATAATGAGTAGATGTTCGGATAAAATCGGAATGAGAAAGAAACCACCTGCAAATACACCAAATATGGCAATATCAGCACGTTGCTTTGGGTTGCGCCATAACAAGCCATGCCGCTAAGCGATGACTCCCTGTACTTATTTCCTCGACAAAGCGGTAAATTCCAGAAAGTCCTGAATGTATAGAGTTAGCGCTGAATTCGTCTGACCAGTCACAATCCAGAGAAGACGCCCCCAACTCCTTTCCCCATGAAACTTCCCTCATCCCCGCGTCGTCCGACGCCTTCCCCGTATCTTGGCCAGCCCCAGACATTGGAGATCCCCCCGGTCACCTCGGATTACCGCTTTTGTGAATCCGGAGGAATTGAAAGTGGCCTATATAACCCGCTGATCGGCATTCCCATCATGTTTGTAATTTGCGATCTTCTCAGGTGTGGGCATCATGTTCGGCATTCCGAAGTTCTTTGGCTGGAGAGGCCGGTCTCTCAACCTGGCTATCAGTTCCCTTGGTAGTCTGGACTTCTTGTATGATACAATTCAATTGCTATTCTGAAACTGGAAACTAACCTATAAGGCTATTTGGTTACGATCAAGGTGTCACGGGTGGTCTGCTAGACCTGCCCTCATTCATCAAATACTTCCCCGATATCAATCCACTAGATCCAGCCATCGCCGATAACAAGCCCCTCCGATCGCAGCGCAGTCTGAACCAAGGCATTGCAGTCGCATCGTACAATCTAGGATGTTTCTTCGGCGCCGTCTTGACTATCTTCATCGGTAATCCGCTGGGTCGACGGAGGACTATCTTCTGTGGCTGTATGATCATGGCGACTGGCGCCCTATTGCAATGCACCGCGTATTCCTTACCCCATTTCATTGTCGGCCGGATTGTCACTGGTGTTGGCAATGGTATGAATACAAGTACCGTACCCACCTGGCAGTCCGAGTCAGCCAAGGCCCACGATCGTGGCAAGATGGTGATGATCGAGGGTATGCTCATCACGGGCGGTATTACTCTTAGCTACTGGATCAACTATGGTGAGTTGAACCCATTCTGTATGTTACGATCAAGTCGCAATTACTAATATAATCCTGAACTAGGCATGTCATTCATCGGAGAAAAAGAGGTCGCGTGGCGGTTCCCTCTAGCTTTCCAGATTATCTTCGCTATCATTATCTTCTGCTCTATCCTCAACCTGCCCGAGTCCCCAAGATGGCTTGTCATGCAAGGCCGGACCGATGAGGCTTTAGAGATCCTCGAATGTCTAAATGAGAAAACTCGGGATGACCCGTACATCAAGAACGAGCTCATCGCCATCGAGGAAACTGTCAAGGAAATGAACAAGGGCTCTTATAGAAGTCTGTTCAAGATGAGCGAGTATCGAGAATTCCATCGCGTGGCACTGGCCTACGTCAACCAGATGTTCCAGCAGATTTCTGGAATTAATCTCATCACCTACTACGTGAGACCCTCTCCTCAACTGACGTACCATCCTAGCCCTATGCTAATCAGGTCCACTAGGCACCTTCACTGTACGCCGAGATCGGTCTTGGAAGCGGCAACCTCCCAAAGTTACTAGCAGCCTGCAACGGCACAGAGTATCTAATGGCAGCATTTATCCCAATTTTCATCATCGAGAAAGTCGGCCGTCGTCCACTGATGCTAATCGGCGTATGTCACTCCCCCACACTCCGTGCCTATCCATTATCCCATCAGCTAACCAGTGCTTCGTACTTCTCAGGCCGCCGGCATGTCCCTTTCAATGGCAATCCTAGCCGGCACTAACTACCGCCTGACCGTCCTAAACGACAGCCGCGCCGGCATCGGACAAGCAGTCTTCCTCTTCGTCTTCAACACCTTCTTCGCCATCGGCTGGCTGGGAATGACCTGGCTGTACCCAGCGGAAATCGTGCCTCTGCGCATCCGCGCTCCAACAAACGCACTAGCCACCAGCGCGAACTGGATCTTCAACTTTATGGTCGTGATGATCACGCCTGTTGCGTTCGAGAATATCGGATACAAGACCTATGTCATCTTCGCTGTTATGTAAGATACGATCCTATCCTCCCCATTAACCCATTGAGCCATGACTTGGAACTGACAATAGCAGAAACGCATTCATGTTCCCCTGTGTATACTTCTTCTTCCCTGAGACACGCTACCGGTCCCTTGAAGAGATGGACGCTATCTTCAAGAAGTCTTCTAATGTCTTCGATGTCGTTACTATCTCCGTTAAGGAGCCTTATCGCTATGACAAGCATGGCGAGCTCAAACCTGAGTACCTGGAGGAGGCTACCCGCCATGCGAGCACTGATGTGCACATCGCCGGTGCGAAGTTTGATAGCGATGAGAGCGGTAATGAGGTTAAGGCTTGAGTGGTTGGAAGATGAGGTTGGTTGTGATGTTGGTGGATTTCATTTATACCCGTTGTGCCAGTGTGATTTGATGCTAGTATCATTTCACTGAGAATGTTTTTATATATGGCTTTTAGATGTAAAGAGATGTTAATAACACTGCGTCGAATTTTGATTAAAAGTCATAGATGTGGAGAGATATATATATAAAGTGCAGACTAGCAAAGCATTAACGGAAGAACGTCTATGAAAACGGTAAAATCGTCAGTAAATTCTACATAGCTATGAATATAAACTATCTGTGTTGGAACAAGTTTAAAGGTCCGGGTATACCAGCTCATCTCAGCGTGACACGCATATTATTCGAGATCGATGTCAATGAAGGAACTCGAGGAAGATGCTTGTAACTTCGAATCGAAGAGAAACAAAAATAAAAAAGGGTGTGTAAGACCCGAATGAAAAATGAGGCAAAAGAAAGAAAGAAAGGTAGGTATGAGAATACGGCATCTAAGACACGGACGAAAGAAAACGAAAAGACGGATGAAATGATTCAGATGCGGAAATATGCATCCAGCGCAAAGCACAGATTCAAGGAGGGTTCGTTCATCACGGACGCGGGCTATAGGGATATCAAGATCGAGGCGAACAGTGTGGTCATATTAGGCATGCTCGTTTCCGTCCAGCGGGGCCACTGACACGGCAGCGAGAATGCCTATGTTCTGCATAAGATGTAGGCTTCCTGCAAGGGTGAGGTCATTCAGACTAAGCGTCCCGGGTAGGGAGGGGTTTTCGCGAGATTGAGCCGGACGGAGAAGTCGGCACGGAAGTCGGAAGGGCTGGAAGCTCGCTGGTGGGAGCAGGAGTAGGTGCGGCTGATGGGCTTGACGGTGAAGGTGCAGCGGGAGCAGGCTCAGGAGCGGCTGGGGAAGTCAAAACCTGCAGTGCGGCGGGAGCGGGAGCGGGAGCGGGAGCAGGGGCCGGAGCAGGGACCGGAGCAGGGACCGGAGCAGAGACCGGAGCAGGGGTCGGAGCAGGAGCAGCCACAGGACTCGAAACTTGTGGCACGGCAGGAGCGGTAGCGGCTAATGGGCTCGAAACGGCAGGCGCAGCAGGAACAGCAGCAGCTAATGGGGTCGAAACTGCAAGCGCAGCAGGAACGGCAGCAGCTAATGGACTCGAAACTGCAGGCGCAGCGGGCACTGCCATAGGTGGAGCGACGTTGCCAGCGCTATTGCTACGTTGGCGTTGGTTGACCGGCATCACTGGGCGCTGCATTCCTGGTCCGTATGGACCAGGGCTCATCGAACGCGGGCCGGGCCGGGGGCCAGGAGACATGGATTGTGGGACAGGTCGTCCTCCTGGTCCTGGAGACATGGAGCGAGGCATTCCTCCGGGCCCGGAGGACATTGAGCGGGGGCCGGGCATTCCGCCAGGTCCAGGAGACATTGAGCGTGGGACAGGTCGTCCTCCTGGCCCGGGAGACAGAGAGCGGGGAACTGGCGGGAAGTTGACAGCAGTTCCGGGGGCAGGGTAAGGGCGAGAAGGTGGAGGTCCAGAGAAGCCAGCGCCGGGGGATCTCGGACGGGAATCCTGAGGATAGAATCTAGGACCGGGCGGACCCGCGGGCATCATTGGGCGACCGTCAGGGCCCATGATGGGTGGGCCGCGAGAGCCGGGGCCAGGGGGTGGGCGGGCGCGAGGCATCACAGGACGAGCCGAGAGGCAAGACCGTGGGGCAACTCCTTGCTGGGCGCCATTAAGGCGCGTACAGAGAGCCCACCCATCATCGTACTCATGAACCAAGCGCACAAGCGCTCCCGCACGAAGTCCAAGCTCGTCATCCATAGAGGGGTTGAAATCCAGTTGCACACGGTAGACATTGGTAGGGGGTGGTGGGCCAGCAGCCATGGCGCCTGCAGCTCCGGCGGCACCGGCACTGGTAGCATTGGTAGGGGTGGTTGCAGATTGGGTCGAACCAGTGGGGGAATGGCCGCGTGATTCGGCGGAATGGTAGCGCTCAGAATCATTGGATGCTCGAGATGAAGCAGCAGCACCTGCTGCAACACCCACCGCTGCGGCACCGACCGCGGCAGCTGCGACGGTCGATCCGGAAGGTTCAGTCGATCCGGAAGGTTCAGGCGGTCCAGTGGTTGGTTGAGAAGGTCTAGTGCTCGATACAGAAGGTCCAGTAGTCGATCCAGATGGTTCAGTGGCTGATTCAGCAACCGAAGGCGCGTGTTGGCTGGCAGGGGCGTTGAAAGGATTGACGGGGTCCCTGAACGGGTCAGAGCCGCTGCCAGCAGATTTCGGCGGGGTAGGAGGCGCCGAGTCACCAGTGAGATTACGAGAGGCGACGGCCGAACCAGCCGCAGCACCTGCAACAGCAGCGGTGGCCGGGCTCAAACCGGAAGCACCAGTGGCGGTCGGGTTCAAGGCACCGCCGCTCAGATCAGGCGCGAATTGAGTGACGGGACGAACATTAAGTTGCGGGGGTGTCGAAAGAGCCTGTGGCTTGGAAGGAGGAGGAGGTGGGAAAGAAGCAGCGGTACCCTCTGGCAGGCCTTCATCACCGAAGGTCTTCTCATTCTCCCGCTGATATCCCTCCTGGCTTCTCTTCTTCTTTCGCATAAAGAAGAAAATCAGAGCAGCGATTATACCAACGCCGAAGATGACACCGATAGCCACACCAGCCTTCGCGCCACCAGTCATACCCTCAGAAGTAGTAGTTCCAAGAGCGGTTGTCGAGGCCGATGCGGCAGAGTCTTTGGCCGATCCGGTGGAGGTTGCGGTGGAGGTTGCCGCAAGGAGATCGTTGACATCCTGGGAAGTTTCCAAGGTGGAAGAAGCAGAGGTGGACGACGCCGAAGTCACAAAGGAGGTTGTCGTGATTTGAGCCTCCGACCCACTGGTCGTGGTGGTTGTCTTTTTAGTCTCTGTGGTCTCAGTAGTTTCTGATTTAGTATCCTGAGTGGTGTGGGCCACGGTCTCTTTGGTGGTGGTCGGTTCCTCCTTGGACTTGGTTGTGGTCGCCTCCTCGGTGGTTTTGGCCTCGGTTGTTTCTTCTTTGGTCGTTGTTTGTTCCTTCTTTGTAGTAGCCGCGCTGACAGGCTCACCGACACCAGCGTGCACCTGCGTCGTAGTAGTGGGTTGGGCACCGGTTACATAACCTCCCACCTCCCCTGTAAAATCCGGCGCCACGGTCTTATAAACAATCACGACATCGCCTCGCTCCTCGATGACACCTCGTGCCTCAACAGTTCCTTGCTCCTCTAGTTCCTCCACATTGCGTGCATGGTTGTGATGCGCATGGCCGTGCATGTTGTCGGCTCCAGTATCCCAGGGTACGTGGAGGGGTGAGGGTTAAGGAAGGAGGTTCGCGTATTACTCCTCACGAGAGGGATACGCCTAGATACCAGGTTGATTTCTGAGTAACCGCGTCTCTGGGTCGATTCCAGCTATGTGGAATGTGGGTAGAAAGAATGGACGACTGAGATCAAGCACAGCCGATAGTCAAGTCGAGAATAAAAGAAAGGACGTCGACTTCCAGGTCAGACAAATTGAAAGAACGGATGGAAACAAAGTTGAAAGAAGCAAAGAGAGGAAAGAGAAAAGCCCACGCCGCAATACGAGGAAGCCCTGGGGAACCACGAGGAGCCGAAATGAGATCTTGGGACCCTTGTGTGTATACAACAACACGCTAGCCCAAACAGGCAGCGATGCACAGATGTTTCCTGGTTTGATTGGCTGTCATACGGTGCCTGGCCCGAAGGAGTTACATGACCCATGGGCGAGCACCCTTGCAGCCCCACTTTCCTTTAAGTGGCTGTGGTGTTTCCAAGGTTTGGCTTTACGAACTGTAGAGGACTTTTTAAGGAGTCTTGTTCTAACTAGTATGGACATATGTACGGAGTTCTTTGTATAGCCCTGGAGTATAGTTCTGCTTGAAATACCCCTGATTTAACTATGCTGTAGATCTTATATCTAATTTACCAACACTATAAAATACACGGGAAGTAACAAATGCCGACCCCATTTGCCCGCCCCCAAGCGGCACATTCGCTAAAGTGTGAGGCCCAGCACACGGGCCAGGGGTCACACTACTCCATGATTGTTTCACCCTAGCACAACAGCCACATTTAATTGATCGCTCACGGAGGCCGTAATTTCCGGTGTTTGCCGGAAATTCACTTTTAATCAATTCAAATTTTAATAATGATGCATGACACCTTTGCGCCATTCTCATGCAGGTCAGGGGTTACGCTGCACCCCCAAGGTTGGGGACACGTATTGATATTTTGTTACCTGTATGTAAGATACAGATTCTGTACAACATAGGCAGTACTCCTTACTTGAGTACCGAGTATTTGCATGTAATAGTGGATTGCCAAACGTGATTAATTCAGTGTTGCAGGTTCCACGCCTGTCATTCCCAGATCCACTCGTGCGGTATCACCCGAGGAGGCGCAGAAACTGTGGCGTAGCTCCTTCAGGTGTATCATACCATTGCTTCAAGTCTGAGCGAAATAGGGATGGGCAAGGGCCTGATTTATTGTCAGAGGTTATTATAAGACATCAAGTCAAGTTACATACCTCTGTCGCCGAGAGTCTTGCGCTGCTCTCGTAGCACAATAGGTGGCTGACTAAATCACGGCCATTCGAGGATGCACCAGGGAGAATATCCTCCCAGCTCTGCGTGGGGAACGAGTAGAATTCCACTTTTCCCCAATCTGGCAGAACCTGGACTTCCTGTTCAATGGTTATTAACGACGTTTCCATTTGCCATAGGGGTGATGCTTACCGGCCAGCGCTGTTCATCCGGAGTACCCAGTAGTTTGAAGATGGAGAAAATCAGCGACAGATCGCTGCCCACAGGCCCGGAGTCGAAGAGCTGACGGTGACCAACGGCAATAGCTTCTGCCACTACACAGCCGGCAGCCCACATGTCGAGAGCTGTCCCATACCCTTTGAATCCAAAGAGAATCTCCGGGGGTCGATAGCAGGTCGTGCCCACATCCGTGATTTTCTCGGTGGGTGGTTCAGATCCCGCATCGCCTTCTTTCCATGAGACGCCAAAGTCGGCCAAATACGCTGGTCCGTTGGGAGAGTCCATCAGAATATTGGAAGGCTTGATGTCCCGATGAAGTATGCCCATGTCGTGGATATGCGCAAGGGCACGGAATAGATCTCGCAGAATCGATCGTGTTTGAGCAGCAGTTACCATGTCTCGCCGGAGCAACTTCTCCAAGTCATATCGCATGAAAGGAAGGACCATGACAAACCTGCCGCCATCAAGATTGAATGTCTCAATCAATGGAATTATATTGGTGTGAGCCGCTTCACGCAACAAACGTGCTTCACGGTGAGCATCATGGGGGGCTGTCATCATGTGGGGAACAGTGACTTTCACTGCCCTAAGGGTCCCATCTTCCAACTTTGATTTGTAGATGGTGGAGTGAATACCATCAAAGTGGTGGAAACAGGACCGATATTGACCGATCACTTCCCCTGTTGAGGCCTCTAGCTCTTCAAAGTCATTCTCGTGCTGTGGGCTGCTGTCGACCAGCTTTTCAGACCCTGCCAATTCAGCTTCATCAATTGCCTTTTGGCAGATAGAATCATATTCATCCTAGGTGGATTAGTCCCAGTTTTCAGGCCCGTCCTGAAAAGGTACACCACTCACTTTTGAAGTCGCCTTGTCATACGCCTCGGTTTCAGTTTGCTTGGCTTGGGCCATAGCTTCTGTAAATGCGGAGGCAGGCGAAGAAGAAGCTTTCTGGTAAGCCGATGTACTACACGCAAATCAATCGAGTGCCCATGTTGATATAGATGGGAAAGTCGCTTACAGAGACTGTATGGCTCGCAGCCGGTCTGTGAACCCGAAATTATCCTTCCAAGACATGATGCAAGAACACTGCTAATCAAGGTAGTAACTTCTACTCTACTGCCTTGCAGCTTTTATGGCAGTGTATAGTCAATATTTAAAGCAACGTAAATATAGGGGAGATCTATTCTATCACCTGATGAAGAGCTATCAACTGCAAACCTGAGGCAGCAAGGCGCCAACATCCCGAGGTCAACCGCGTGGATGATGTCAAGTGACCAATCAAGGAGTAGTTACAGTTTTGTGACGTAAGTTACAGACGCTCAGGCCGTTATTGATGATTTAATACCGCCAAATACCGTATTACAATTACAACCTCCGTCATTCCATCCCCATTGCCGTCTTCGGCCAACATCGAATGACACCCTACCAACTGACACTGGCATTCGGTCCCGCTCCCGCATTCATTTCCCTTACTTGATTGGGCCCTTCTCGACTGCAGGAATCTCTTGGTTTTCTCTTACATGTTATGCGCTTCGTGCGCTACCTTGCTCAGTACCTCAATACCCCGGAATCTGAATCATGGACCTCTCAAGGCAAGAGTATCCAACGCTGCTGGTAAGATTGAGCAAGTCGAGTTACATGGTTGACAAGCAAAGCATCTAGTTACTGATCATTGACGGTATCTCTTCTATTTAGGCTAGCCTGCATCCCAGCCAAGCTACAACCGTCCTGAGCGATCGCATCCGACTCATAAACAAGGTCAATACGGATATCGCGGATTACCTACAAGTATGACAATCTGTCACCGATCCAATCAGATTCCTGGAAGGGATCTGCAACGTGGAGTGACATTGGTGTTGACATACTGGCAATAGGAGCGACGTCGAGTTGAAGAAGCATATGCCCAAGGGTTGCGGAAGCTGGCGCATCGGCCACAGTTGGACAATGGAGCTGCTCTTGGGTAAATTGACCTTTCCCTGGAAGATTGAAGTTTTTTTGCACTCGGTAATGATACTGACCTGCGAAACTAGCATTTTCCAAATCCCCTGGCAACGCATCATCAGTGCCACCGAAACCCTCGCCGTATCGCACGAGACCCTTGCGAACAAGATCGAGGAGGATGTCGAACGACCACTAAGAGAATTTAGCACCAAGAATCAAGAGATGAAGTCGTTGCCCGGTATCCAGAGTAGTCTGGCAGGGTTGGCGAAGAATGTGGAGACTGCGCAGAAGAAGGTGGACAAGGCCAGGGCGAGGGGTGCCAGAGGTGCAGACAAACTTTCTAGCGAGATTGCCAATGCCGAGGAAGTCCACCAGCAATGGGATTCGCGGGCTCCCTTTGTTTACGAGCAACTCCAGGCAGCCGATGAGACCCGGCTGAATCACCTTCGGGATGTGCTAACACAATTGGAGACTCACGAGGTGGATCAAGTCGAGCGTGGTCGCCAGGCCGCTGAAAGCTGCTTGAACATCCTTCTGAATGTGGAAACAGCAGATGAAATCAAGACCTTTGCTGCGAGAATGGCGGGCCCACGAGTCCCTACGCAGGCCATCCCTAGAAGACAGACTGAACCGGCAGAGACAGCTTTCCCAATCGAACCAGTATCCGAGCGGACACAGACAGCGCCAATCGATCGTGAATTCTCCACGCCAACAACAGAGGCTCCGCTTCCGTCCCTTCCACGCACCCATGATGATGCGGAAAGCCAACTATCAGAGGCATCTGAGAGAACCACCGTCGCTCCGACACCCCCAGGTAAGTTTTACAGTCGGGTTCCCTATGAAACATTGAGATTCTCATGATTTATCTAGTACCAGAAGCACAGCAACGGCATACTCCTCTGGGGGGATTGAGACGTCTTGGCACTGTCATGAACAGGAGAAAGAGCGTTGTCTTGCCTTCAACTGGATCTTATGACCGAAAGGCAGACAAGAAGCGTAGTCCCTTTGCTGCATTCATGAGAGCCGACTCCTCTCGCGATATGCAAATACCTGAATCTCCCCCCGCGACCGGTGACCGTCCGGGAACATCCTTTACCGATCAATCATCCTTGCGAAATCCTAGTATGTCGCAAGACCGTGCCGGATTAGACGCTGGGGCAACTATGTCTGAACACCCGGAGACCAGAAATGGAGAAACCAATAACCATGTCAATCAGGTAAATTACCAACCAGCGAGCGAGTTAATTAAAAGTGCCAACCACTGACTGTGTCTTGTTTAGCCACAGGTTGATGCCGAAGGGTTCACTCAACGCCCTGCAACAATTGACGAGATCACTCGTGCCCAGAATGAGGCAGCGGGGTATGTTCCCTTTTTCAACGGTGATGAACGAATGCTGACAGTATCACTACAGCATAGATGAGTCTGGTCTGAACTTGACAATTCGAGATCAGCCCATCTTCGAGGATGAGAACCAAGCGAAGCGAGCCATGGATGATATGGCAAATACCCTCCGAATGGTTAGTAACAGGTCTCGCCATTGATCAGACATTG